GAGCACGTGCAGATCGCCACACGCTGTCCTCCAGGGGTAAAGGTGTCAACCCACTGATCCTGGAGGACAGCGTTGCTCACCAGGTTCGTCGAGAACGAGGGGAGGTGGAAACCCGACAACGAGCCAGACGGAACCGCCGGACAAGGGAGGACAGTGGTGGACTGGGCAAGGACTGGGCCCCCAGAGGGGTCAGCCAAGGAGACTGGGACCGGTGCAGGAAGCGGTGTGAGCTCAGTACTGTCACGAAAGAAGCAACGGGAAGCACCTGAGTCAAGGGTGAAGGTGTGACAGGCCTCAGCCGGTGCGGTACCTGAGAGAGCAGTCTCTGTGGGTGCTGTACCTGAGAGAGCAGACTCGCAAACAGCCGGGACAGCACTGGAGGGAGCAAGTACAGGGGGCACCATACCAGAGAGAGCAGACTCACTAGTACCCAGGGCAGCGGGCTCTATACCTGGGTCAGGCGGCACACACAAGTAACAGTCTCCCTCGGCACTAACAGTCAATGCATACATGGCAGCAATAATAGCATCATAGTCAAGAGCAAAGACATCAACACCAGCCCTCATGAGCTCAGCCCAGCGGGGGCGCTCAACATCCGCACCCATCTCCTCACGCCAAGCGTCGTCAAGGCGGGAGAAGCAGCGGTACGGGGTGTGGAACCTCCCACACGTCTGTCCCTTGCGGTCACCTGTGCGAATGACATAAGAACAGCGGCCACTGCCCCCCGACGTCCCACGCTGAGCAAGCCACTCATGAAGCTGCTGGGTCGTCTGGGGACGCTGCTGCTGCTGGGAGCTCTGGCCCGAGCCAGTGCCTCCACTCCGACCTCCGCCGCCACCACTACCACCGCTCCGACCGCCACCGCCACCACCGCCACCACCGCCACCGCCGCCACCGCCGCCGCCGCCACTACTGCCACTGCTTCCTCCGCCGCCCCCGCCTCCACCACCGACCCCACTCCCACCAGCGCTCCCGCCACCGCTCCCTCCAGCACCGCCTCCCCCCCCACCTCCCCCACCTCCTCCCCCCCCAGCGCCACCACCACCACCCTTGCCCCCCTTGCCCTTGCCGGTGCGGCGCCTCCCACCAGGAGCAGAAGCAGCGCCAACAGACTCAGCACCAAGGAAGTCAACAGCAGCAGCAGCAGCGTAGGAGGGAGCGAGGGGAGAGGGAGAACACCCCTCAAAGATGGGGGTGCGAGGAGCGCCACGAGCAGCACCGACAGCTACAATGCTCTTTTCGGCCGCGAGCAGGTGCTCCTCTAGGAGGGCGACTGTGAGCTCAGTGGGACAGCGAGCAAGGAAGTGGTCTCGAACTGAGCGGAGGGTGTCAGGGAGACGGGTGACTATGAAGTGGAGTGTCCAGTACAGTGGGGGGGGGTTCTTAGCGCAGAACTCGGTGGGAAGGGCGGCACGCAGGCGAGCATCACTAGTGCGAAGGTGGGTGATAAGATCGGCGACTGTAGCAAAGGTGGACAGATCGGGGAACAGGTACGGCAGCATGAGGCGGCTAAGCTCGGCTGTGGCAGGCGAGGAGTAGCGAGCAACGACAGCATCGTACAGGGCCTTAGCGGATTTGCAGTCGCCAAAATGCTCGAGCTCAGCTAGCGGCAGGTGACTGCGAATGGCTAGGCGAGCAGCTGCGTCACGAGTCTGCCAGTGGGAACGAACACTAAGCTCAGCTGTGGCAGGGGGGGCAGGTGCAGCACCAGACGCGTAATCATAGAGCGACACATGCTCCTTGCTATCGCTCAGAAGGAACAGCTGCAGGTCATCCAGCCAAGTGGCGAACTTCACAGGGCGGCCCTCAGCATCGAACGACAGCACGCGGATGGAAGCCATAGCGACAGTGCGACTGAGCAAAGGAAGCTGCCACAGCGCTGCAGGTAGGTAGCTCGGCGGGAAGCGCGGCGGGCGGGCGACGCGGCGAGCGGGCAGTGCGGGGGGCGGGCTACGAAGCGGGCAGCGCGGTGGGCAGGCGGCGCTGCAGGCGGGAAGTGCGGCGGGCGGGCTGCGAAGCGGGCAGCGGGGCGAGCGGGCGACGCTGCGAGCGGGCAGCGCGGCGGGCGGGCTGCGAAGCAGGCAGCGGGCGGGCGGGCGACGTTGCAAGCGGGCAGCGAGCGGGCGGGCGGGCTGCGAAGCGGGCAGCGGGCGGGCGGGCGACGCTGCAAGCGGGCAGCGAGGCGGGCGGGCGACGAAACGGGCAGCGGGCGGGCGGGCGACGCTGCAAGCGGGCAGCGAGGCGGGCGGGCGACGCTGCGAGCGGGCAGCGCGGCGGGCGGGCGACGCTGCGAAGCGGGCAGCGGGCGGGCGGGCGACGCTGCGAGCAGGCAGCGCGGCGGGCGGGCTGCGAAACGGGCAGCGCGGTAGGCGGGCGACGCTGCGAGCGGGCGGCTCGGCGGGCGGGCGACGCTGCGAGGGGCGCGCGAGGGCGCTAGCGAGGGCGCGCGAGGGCGCTAACGAGGGCGCGCGAGGGCGCTAACTAGGGGCGCGCGAGGGCGCTAACGAGAGGCGCGCGAGGGCGCTAACGAGGGCGCACGAGGGCGCTACGAGGCTAGGGCACGGGGTAGCGTGGTAACCGCATGCGAGCGGTGGTGGGCCCTTAAAAAAAAACGGTCGGTAGGTCCTAGGGACCTCCTGCTCTGAATACCATTTCAGAATAACTAGGCAAGAATGAGTGCATTGAATGGAACAGTTGGGTACAAGTAGCAAACCCTAGTTGGGGTTGTACCCCATATTGGCTACCCCACTACAGCCTACCAACATATAACACATTACACTTTAACAGTGCTCTGGTCCTAAACTGCGGGTAGTGTCTATTGGGATGGCTGTCAACCAGTCCCCTGTACCGTAGCCAGTCAGCGAGAGGAATCGCTGTGTGTGGCCTGACAGGGGGGTGAGGGCCATATGTCTAGTTGCTTGCACTTGTGTGGCGTACCTTCTCCCCTGCACCCTCACCCCCAGCTCATGCTGTAGCCTAAGACCAGCCGGCTCCAGCCTTTCTTTGTCTAGGATCTCCCTTGCTTCCTCCGGCAGCTCCGCTTCACAGAGAGTCAGCCACTGGTGTAGGGGCGTGCTGGAATCTGCTGGCAGTAGCATATGGTCTCGTGTGGCTCTCAAGGCCCCACCCGGCTCCAGTGGCAGTTGGCTCAGGAGGAGGGCGGCTTGCGTAAAGCTGGCCAGGAAGCCGCAGGCGCCCTCTACCGTTGGGTCTGCTAGTCCAATGCCGCCCAGGGACGGTGGCAGTGATGATTGCTCCCAGACACGGCTATGCTCAGTGCTATCCGTTGGCGGGCGTATGCCGCATGCTGTGAGAAGGGTAACCAGCAAGTCCTGGCCCCATTGTGACCATGTGTCTTGATCTAGGAGGTGAAGTGGGGTGGTTCGTGTGAGATATGCTGCTCTGCGCGAAATGCAACGTGTTAGGAGGAGGGCTGTCACCTGTGGGTCCATCCGTTCGAGTAATGGCAGCGGCTTGGCCATGGATTCTAGCTGCGCGGAGAGGAAGGCGGCGGCGGCGGATGATGTTCCCAGGAAGCTGCCTAAGAGTCTCACGCCATCTTCACTAAACGGTACCCCGGGTGGCAGTTGTACTGCTGTTTCTATCGGCTGCTTGCTCCACGCGGCGCATTTGGCAGGATTGTGGCGCAGTCCTATTTCCTCCAGTTGGTCGGTGAAGTGGGTAAAGGCTCCTACAGCTTCGTGCGGGTCTCCCATAAAACTCACGTCGTCGGCGTACGCTAAGCACAGTACGCCAGGGTATGCTGCTGCTGTCGCTTTCAGGGCTGGATGAATTCCATGTGTGTACAGTCGGAAAAATCTGTACCGTCAGCGGCAAATGCATCGGGCAGCTACAACGCCAAGGAATTTGGCGGGAATAGGTTCGCAACTGGTTCCCGCGTCGTTGTAATAAGGGAGTGTACCATTTAGAGTACATGACTAGTCTACATCACTTTGTATTCGCTGAATTCCATGTATGATGTATGCCTTTGTTATAATCACTTCAAGCATTTCCGTTCACTATTATCTGATGTCAATCAATTCCGCTGCATTAACTCTGTACGAACATCCTGAAGTAATCCTGGCACGGTCACACGTCTGATCGTAACAATTATCACTAATCCATGCCTTCCGTGCGTATTTCTGCATCTTGGGAATACCTACGTCCGGACCGTGCCTCGTCCGTACATTTTTTATTAAGAAAATATATGATAACACACACACACATACACTCACGTGGAAACAGTTACACAATGCGAATTGACATTTCTGTTCGCAATTTTCGTCAGGGGAAACACGACTCCGCTACCACTGCCCAGCAAGCAACACTCCCCACGGCTTGCCCAAAGCCTTTTTTCAGGCATGGCTCATAATCACTTTCCGAACTTCCAGAGTGGTTTAAAACGTTGAAGTGTGCTTAAGTTTAACTTCTGTGTGGTACAGTACGGTAGCAGAAGTTCCACGCCCAACCTTGTTTTCGAAGGGCGTGAGGAGGCAAGCCCAACCTTCATTCACCCCCTTCCTCCAACTCCCCTCCACGCCTGTGACACCACCGACCTGCATTGGAGTGCGCGTAGGGTGCAGGGGAGGAGAGGACATGCAGAAGGCGCGTGCAGTGGGGAGGAAGTGGTGTAAGTACGTGCAGAGGACGAAACAGAGGTTTCGAGCATTGGGCGATTAGTGAGGAAAGGACAAGGACAGGACAAGTGGCGGAAATACAGGGTAGAAGCGTTACAGCATGCGGATGAAGAATGCGGCTCGGCTCGATGTGGGGGCTAGCCACCGGAGTCGGCATTCCGAGTCGCATCTATTAAATGTAGAATGGCCTACTGGCATAAATAGATCCAAGGCCTCACCTCGCCCACTCAGCAAGTGCCAGCCGACGAGCGACTTACGCCTTGCGCAACCTCGGTGCATCTTCATCGCTGTCCTCTTCCCCTCGCCCAATCGCGCTGCGCCATTCACACTCCGCTGCGCGCACACGTCAGCGCCGCCAGCGTCATGACAGAGGTTTTTCCGCAGCCGCAGCACGCGGAGGTTCCGACAGTGGCAGTAACAGCGGGGCCGGCGGTGGCGGCGGAGCTGCTGGACGTGCTAGACAACAAGGGACGCCCCACCGGGGAGGCGCTTCCGCGGTGAGCCTTGCGCCGCGCTGCTCCTCCCGCCGCCAGTCCGCACCTGCCTGTCCGTCCCTCTGGCGATCCCCTGCCAGTCACTCTCCCGCGGAGTGTCAACTCGCTACCAGCGCGTTCCTCTGCTCGTGCCTCCCGTCCCCCGCCATACTTCGGCCAATCCGCGCGCCTCCCACCCCGCTCCTCCATCTCCTCTCCCCCTCCCCTCCGCAGCGGCGAGGTGCACAGGCGCGGGCTGTGGCACCGCTCGGTGCAGACGTGGGTGTTCGCGCAGCGGGGCGCGCAGCTGCTGCTGCAGCGGCGCGCGGCGCACAAGGAGTCGTGCCCCGACATGTGGGACGTGTCGAGTGCGGGCCACGTCACCACGGGCTGCTCCTCCCTCCACACCGCCCAGTGCGTGCCGCTGATGCTCGCATCTCCACCTGGCTGTTCATGCCCCGCCTCGTCCTCGTCTGTGGTCACTTGCTCTGGTCATCTTCCTCTCGCTGCTGAGGCTCGCTCTGCCCTTCTCCTCCCCTCCCTCCTGTCCTGGCAGGCTCGAGATGGAGGAGGAGCTGGGCTTGTCGCTGCCGGCGTCCGCCTACCAGTGGCTCTTCCTAGATATCTTCCAGTCGTCAGTGCCGCTGCCCCGCCCCTCACTCCGCCCTCTCTGCTCGCTGCGTTTCACTGTGCATCGCTGCGTTGTGTTATGTGTTGCTCCTCTGTACTTGTTGCTCCTCCGTACTTGCCGCTCCTCCGTCCATCATCAGCCTGTACCGCTCCCATGTATTCTCCCTCCTGTGCATTGCACCTCATTGCATCCCATTGCACCTCATTGCATCCCATTGCACCTCGTTGCGTCCCATTGCACCTCGTTGCATCCCGTTGCACCTTGTTGCATCTCATTGTACCTGACCTCTTGTCCTGTGTGCATGTGCCGTGCAGAGGGCAGGGAGGCACGTACATCGACAACGAGTTCAGTGACGTCTACCTCGTCACTGTGCCAGAGCCCCTCCCTCCCTCCGCCTTCACACTGGATGTATGTGCCTCCGTGCTCCAAGTGTGTGCCTCTGTCTCCTTCAAACTCACTCGTTCCTTCAAACCCACCCCCCTTTCCCTTCACCGCCGGGAGTCGCACTCACTCCTTCAAATTCATCCCCCCCTCCCCCCCCTCTCCTCACCTCCCCCCCTTCCCTCTTCCCCCCCTTCCCTTTCCCTCACCACCAGGAGTCGGAGGTAGCAGAGGTGAAGTGGATGCCGTGGCGGGACTATGAGGCCATCCTGCGCTCCCGGGACCCAAGGTACGTGCCCTTTGATGTACAGACACCCAATGGATATGGACAGCTCTTGTTCTCACACCTTGCAAAGATATCGGCACTAGGTGGTGGCTGAAATTTTTGTAGGTATGGTACCGTAACTTTTTGCTCCAGATAGATTTGCTATCATGTACAGTATGTTGTATTAGATACTCCATGCCTTGATTGCCATAGAGATCTACTAATGTTCTAGTCACTCAAAATCATACGGCCGTCTTGGTACTGCCACTGCTCTGCTCAATTGATTATCAAAATGCAATGAACAACTTGACGAATCAACTAGTGGAGAGTGAGTAGTAGCCGTTGAAATTGATCTGTGTGAGCAGCTTGTGCACTTGCGGCGTGGACACGGAGTGGTGAAGCATTCCCACTGACAGATACAAAGCACACGCCTTAGCATCCAGCTCCTGGCGGGTCAGACGGAGGGAGGGATGAGGGAGAGAGGGAGAGAAGGAGGGAGGGAGAGAAGGAGGGGGGAGGGAGAGAGCAAATTGTACACTGGAGGCGTGGTGGACACGGAGTGGTGCCACATTTCTAACGACAGAGGGAGCCCACCTTGCGCATGTCCTGCTGTTACCCCTACATACGTGTGCAAGAGCAGAGAGCTGTGAGAAAGAGAGGAGTGCACACCTTACGCATGTCTTGCAGCAGTGGGAGAGGCAGCGGTGCAGAGTGGTGGAGGCGGCGGCAGAGCTTCATGGCGAGCACAAGCAGCGAGTGCAGCGGACGCGTGAAGTGTGTGTTGCCCAGCATCACATGGCGCTCCAACGATGAGAGGAAGCTGAGAGCGCGATGGGAAACACATTAAAGGTGGCAGTGTGTGTTTCCCAGCATAAGATGGTGCTCCAATGAAGAGAAGAGACTAAGAATGCGATGGGGAACACAAGGGATTGAGGTGAGAGATAGAGCAAGGGAGAGTTAGTGTGGTGCTCAAGTGAAATTGGATATCGTAGTTCGACAACCTGCTTGAGTCTCTTCTTAGAATCTCAATAGCACCTCCAATAGTTTAAGCGACTAAATGCCTCCCAAGTGAGGGCGTGACGTGGCTACCGAGGGACGACATGGCACCCACTCAAGGCGCGACCGGAGCAGCGGGGATGAAAACATGCCATGACTGGTGTGAAATGGCACTGATTGCTTGAGAAAAGAGGGGCAGGGGGTGCAAGGCATGTGAGAAGAGGGGGGCGCACCGGTCATGAGCTGCGAGCAGGAAGGAGAAGTCGGGGTTGGCGCGGATGGAGGCGAGGAAGGCCGCCCACTCCACCTCCACCACGTCCGCCTGTATGGATGGGCAATTTGCATTGCAGTGCGATAATTAGAACAATTTGCAGTGCTTTCCGGTAGTTGACACGATTCGCAATGTGTAAAGGAGACTTGGAAGGCCGCCCACTCCACCTCCACCACGTCTACCTGCAGGGGTGGATGATGTGAGACAGCCAGGTGTGCGTGGCAGAGGGGGATGGCAGTGATTGAATGAAACGCAGGAAGCCTGCCCATCCCACCTCGGCTACATCTGCCTGCAGCGATTGACGATGTGCAGTGCTTTGTGGTGATTACACCATTTTCATTGCTTAATGACAACACAGGGAGTGGCACAAATGGAGTAGCAAAAAGAGAGCGGCGAAACAGGGGGCGGCGAAACAGGGAGTGGCGAAACAGGGAGTGGCGAAACAGGGAGTGGCGAAACAGGGAGTGGCGAAACAGGGAGTGGCGAAACAGGGAGTGGCGAAACAGGGAGTGGCGAAACAGGGAGTGGCGAAACAGGGAGTGGCGAAACAGGGAGTGGCGAAACAGGGAGTGGCGAAACAGGGAGTGGCGAAACAGGGAGTGGCGAAACAGGGAGTGGCGAAACAGGGAGTGGCGAAACAGGGAGTGGCGAAACAGGGAGTGGCGAAACAGGGAGTGGCGAAACAGGGAGTGGCGAAACAGGGAGTGGCGAAACAGGGAGTGGCGAAACAGGGAGTGGCGAAACAGGGAGTGGCGAAACAGGGAGTGGCGAAACAGGGAGTGGCGAAACAGGGAGTGGCGAAACAGGGAGTGGCGAAACAGGGAGTGGCGAAACAGGGAGTGGCGAAACAGGGAGTGGCGAAACAGGGAGTGGCGAAACAGGGAGTGGCGAAACAGGGAGTGGCGAAACAGGGAGTGGCGAAACAGGGAGTGGCGAAACAGGGAGTGGCGAAACAGGGAGTGGCGAAACAGGGAGTGGCGAAACAGGGAGTGGCGAAACAGGGAGTGGCGAAACAGGGAGTGGCGAAACAGGGAGTGGCGAAACAGGGAGTGGCGAAACAGGGAGTGGCGAAACAGGGAGTGGAGGATACACTCATAAATGCAGGTATACATGGAGGTACGTCTGCAGGCTGGTGACGATCTGCAGCATCTCTTTGAGCATCATGCACAGCATCAAATGCTCCTTGCGCTCCGATAGTGATATGCGAACCACTCCAATGCTTGCCCCTGCCAGGCTGCCTCCTGCCACACTTGTGCTTCTAGCGAACCCAGCAGCCCCAGCACCACCACTGGCACCAGCCGTGCCAAAAGTAGCAGCAGCAGCGGTACCAGCAGCAGCAGTGGTAGCAGGGCCAGCATGACCCCCACTCCCAGAGGGCAGCGACCAAGTCCGCTTCATCTGCCCCTCCTCCTCACCCCTCCCCACCACCTCCCCTCTTTTAACCCCACCCACTTCTGCCCCTCTCCGTCCCCCCTCTCCACCCCTCCTCCCCTCACCCCTCCCAGCCACGACCCCACGCGTCCCTTTCTCAGGCAGCCCTCGCATCCTGGCCCCCTCGGGCCGGACCTTACACAGCAGCAGCCAGGCGAGCTGCAGCTCGAGGGCCACACGGCGCAGGCGGAAGAGGAACGCGCCCACGCTGTTGTACCGCTGCAGTGCCGCAGGGGACAGCACCAGCTGCAGCGGCCACGCTACAGCCGTGTTGATCACCAGCCGGTCCCACCAGTTCACACTGCCGCTGCTGCCACCGCCAGTTGCTCCTGACTGGGTGCTGTGACTCTGCCCCTGCACCCGCCCCTGTTGCTGCCCCTGCCCCTCCACCTTCCCCTGCCCCTGCCCCAGGCCCTGCCCCTGCCCCTGTCCTTGCCCCTGGCCCTGCCCCTGTGCCTGCACCCGCACCTGCTCCTGAAGCTGTGTGGGCAAGCCACCCTGCACCGCTCCCTCCAGGCGTCGTTCACCTGTCTCCACGCCCCTGACCCGTGAAGCAGACGGGTCGAACGGGGTCACCACCAACCCTGTACCACCACATCCTCTTGCTAATGCTGCAGCTCCTGCCCCTGCTCCTCCTCCTGCTGCTGCCCCTGCTGTTCCAGCTGCTATGCCAGTTGCTGCTCCCAATCTGGATAACGCCGTTGCTGCTGCCCCTGGTGTTCCAGCTGCTATGTCGGATGCCACTCCCAGTCTTGACAGGGCTGCTGCTGCTGCTGCTGCTGCTGCTGCTGCCTCTGTTGCCGGCGCTGCCACAGCCGGTGTGGCAGGCGGGGCTGACGGCTGATTGGATGGCTGAAGAGATGGCTGGACTGATGGTTGAGGCCTTGTCAGGTCAGGGGGGATGAACCTGGACGCATGCAAGTTGCACACCGTTTAATGCCATGCCACACCATGCCACACCATGCCACACCATGCCACACCATGCCACACCATGCCACACCATGCCACGCCATGTCATACCACACCATGCCACACCATGCCACGCCATGTATCATGATCCCACACCATGTCACACCATGCCATGGCCATGATAAGCAATACAAACCAAGGCCATCCCTGGTTGTCAGCGCCACAACTCATCGACTGCTCCACAACTGCACTCATGCTGGATTCTTTGTTCCTGTAGCATGTCCGTGCATTGCTGAGGTTGAAGGAAGGAAAGGTCAAAGAGCAACGTGCTCACGTGGGACAAGAGATGAGTCCTCGCTAGACGGGAAGTGCAAAAAGCACTTGGTTGCAGAGTGCCTATGAGAATGTTGAACCACATGGAGTGGGAGCAGAGAGAGCCATGGCCTCACTTGAAGGAGAATGTGCGGAAGTACTTGAGAGTCGTCTCCTCCACGATGCATGCTGATGCCTGGTGGGTGAACGAGCAGTGGGCATGAGGGAAGGCATGAGAGATAGGGAACGAAGGCATGGGCGATAGGGAACGAAGGCATGGGCGATAGGGAACGAAGGCATGGAGGTGGGGGGAAATGAAGAGCGAAAGCAAAGGAACACATGGAGATTGAAAGTGGTTTGATTTGAATCTGAGGCATGAAGCATGACTGGGAGAGATTTGCACATGCTCCATTGCACATGTTCCATTGCACATGTTCCATTGCACATGCTCCATTGCACATGTTCCATTGCACATGTTCCATTGCACATGCTCCATTGCACATGTTCCATTGCACATGTTCCATTGCACATGCTCCATTGCACATGTTCCATTGCACATGTTCCATTGCACATGTTCCATTGCACATGCTCCATTGCACATGCTCCATTGCACATGCTCCATTGCACATGTTCCATTGCACATGTTCCATTGCACATGTTCCATTGCACATGTTCCATTGCACATGTTCCATTGCACATGCTCCATTGCACATGTTCCATTGCACATGTTCCATTGCACATGCTCCATTGCACATGTTCCATTGCACATGCTCCATTGCACATGTTCCATTGCACATGTTCCATTGCACATGCTCCATTGCACATGTTCCATTGCACATGTTCCATTGCACATGCTCCATTGCACATGTTCCATTGCACATGTTCCATTGCACATGTTCCATTGCACATGTTCCATTGCACATGTTCCATTGCACATGCTCCATTGCACATGCTCCATTGCACATGCTCCATTGCACATGTTCCATTGCACATGCTCCATTGCACATGCTCCATTGCACATGCTCCATTGCACATGTTCCATTGCACATGTTCCATTGCACATGTTCCATTGCACATGCTCCATTGCACATGTTCCATTGCACATGTTCCATTGCACATGTTCCATTGCACATGTTCCATTGCACATGTTCCATTGCACATGTTCCATTGCACATGTTCCATTGCACATGCTCCATTGCACATGCTCCATTGCACATGCTCCATTGCACATGTTCCATTGCACATGTTCCATTGCACATGCTCCATTGCACATGCTCCATTGCACATGTTCCATTGCACATGCTCCATTGCACATGCTCCATTGCACATGCTCCATTGCACATGTTCCATTGCACATGCTCCATTGCACATGCTCCATTGCACATGCTCCATTGCACATGTTCCATTGCACATGTTCCATTGCACATGCTCCATTGCACATGTTCCATTGCACATGCTCCATTGCACATGCTCCATTGCACATGTTCCATTGCACATGCTCCATTGCACATGCTCCATTGCACATGCTCCATTGCACATGTTCCATTGCACATGTTCCATTGCACATGTTCCATTGCACATGTTCCATTGCACATGTTCCATTGCACATGTTCCATTGCACATGCTCCATTGCACATGTTCCATTGCACATGCTCCATTGCACATGCTCCATTGCACATGCTCCATTGCACATGCTCCATTGCACATGCTCCATTGCACATGTTCCATTGCACATGCTCCATTGCACATGTTCCATTGCACATGTTCCATTGCACATGCTCCATTGCACATGTTCCATTGCACATGTTCCATTGCACATGTTCCATTGCACATGTTCCATTGCACATGTTCCATTGCACATGTTCCATTGCACATGTTCCATTGCACATGTTCCATTGCACATGTTCCATTGCACATGCTCCATTGCACATGTTCCATTGCACATGTTCCATTGCACATGTTCCATTGCACATGCTCCATTGCACATGCTCCATTGCACATGCTCCATTGCACATGCTCCATTGCACATGCTCCATTGCACATGCTCCATTGCACATGTTCCATTGCACATGTTCCATTGCACATGCTCCATTGCACATGTTCCATTGCACATGTTCCATTGCACATGCTCCATTGCACATGTTCCATTGCACATGTTCCATTGCACATGCTCCATTGCACATGTTCCATTGCACATGTTCCATTGCACATGTTCCATTGCACATGTTCCATTGCACATGTTCCATTGCACATGCTCCATTGCACATGCTCCATTGCACATGTTCCATTGCACATGTTCCATTGCACATGTTCCATTGCACATGTTCCATTGCACATGTTCCATTGCACATGCTCCATTGCACATGCTCCATTGCACATGCTCCATTGCACATGCTCCATTGCACATGCTCCATTGCACATGCTCCATTGCACATGTTCCATTGCACATGCTCCATTGCACATGCTCCATTGCACATGTTCCATTGCACATGCTCCATTGCACATGCTCCATTGCACATGCTCCATTGCACATGTTCCATTGCACATGTTCCATTGCACATGTTCCATTGCACATGTTCCATTGCACATGCTCCATTGCACATGCTCCATTGCACATGCTCCATTGCACATGCTCCATTGCACATGTTCCATTGCACATGTTCCATTGCACATGTTCCATTGCACATGCTCCATTGCACATGCTCCATTGCACATGCTCCATTGCACATGTTCCATTGCACATGCTCCATTGCACATGCTCCATTGCACATGCTCCATTGCACATGCTCCATTGCACATGTTCCATTGCACATGCTCCATTGCACATGCTCCATTGCACATGCTCCATTGCACATGCTCCATTGCACATGCTCCATTGCACATGTTCCATTGCACATGTTCCATTGCACATGCTCCATTGCACATGTTCCATTGCACATGTTCCATTGCACATGCTCCATTGCACATGCTCCATTGCACATGTTCCATTGCACATGCTCCATTGCACATGCTCCATTGCACATGTTCCATTGCACATGCTCCATTGCACATGTTCCATTGCACATGTTCCATTGCACATGCTCCATTGCACATGTTCCATTGCACATGTTCCATTGCACATGTTCCATTGCACATGTTCCATTGCACATGTTCCATTGCACATGTTCCATTGCACATGTTCCATTGCACATGCTCCATTGCACATGCTCCATTGCACATGTTCCATTGCACATGTTCCATTGCACATGCTCCATTGCACATGCTCCATTGCACATGCTCCATTGCACATGCTCCATTGCACATGCTCCATTGCACATGCTCCATTGCACATGCTCCATTGCACATGTTCCATTGCACATGCTCCATTGCACATGCTCCATTGCACATGTTCCATTGCACATGCTCCATTGCACATGCTCCATTGCACATGCTCCATTGCACATGCTCCATTGCACATGCTCCATTGCACATGCTCCATTGCACATGCTCCATTGCACATGCTCCATTGCACATGTTCCATTGCACATGTTCCATTGCACATGTTCCATTGCACATGTTCCATTGCACATGTTCCATTGCACATGTTCCATTGCACATGTTCCATTGCACATGCTCCATTGCACATGCTCCATTGCACATGTTCCATTGCACATGTTCCATTGCACATGTTCCATTGCACATGTTCCATTGCACATGCTCCATTGCACATGCTCCATTGCACATGTTCCATTGCACATGTTCCATTGCACATGCTCCATTGCACATGTTCCATTGCACATGCTCCATTGCACATGCTCCATTGCACATGTTCCATTGCACATGTTCCATTGCACATGCTCCATTGCACATGTTCCATTGCACATGTTCCATTGCACATGTTCCATTGCACATGCTCCATTGCACATGCTCCATTGCACATGTTCCATTGCACATGTTCCATTGCACATGTTCCATTGCACATGCTCCATTGCACATGCTCCATTGCACATGTTCCATTGCACATGTTCCATTGCACATGTTCCATTGCACATGTTCCATTGCACATGTTCCATTGCACATGCTCCATTGCACATGCTCCATTGCACATGTTCCATTGCACATGCTCCATTGCACATGCTCCATTGCACATGCTCCATTGCACATGTTCCATTGCACATGCTCCATTGCACATGCTCCATTGCACATGCTCCATTGCACATGCTCCATTGCACATGCTCCATTGCACATGCTCCATTGCACATGTTCCATTGCACATGCTCCATTGCACATGCTCCATTGCACATGTTCCATTGCACATGTTCCATTGCACATGCTCCATTGCACATGTTCCATTGCACATGTTCCATTGCACATGCTCCATTGCACATGCTCCATTGCACATGTTCCATTGCACATGCTCCATTGCACATGCTCCATTGCACATGTTCCATTGCACATGCTCCATTGCACATGCTCCATTGCACATGCTCCATTGCACATGCTCCATTGCACATGCTCCATTGCACATGCTCCATTGCACATGCTCCATTGCACATGTTCCATTGCACATGCTCCATTGCACATGTTCCATTGCACATGCTCCATTGCACATGCTCCATTGCACATGCTCCATTGCACATGTTCCATTGCACATGCTCCATTGCACATGCTCCATTGCACATGCTCCATTGCACATGCTCCATTGCACATGCTCCATTGCACATGTTCCATTGCACATGTTCCATTGCACATGTTCCATTGCACATGCTCCATTGCACATGTTCCATTGCACATGCTCCATTGCACATGCTCCATTGCACATGTTCCATTGCACATGCTCCATTGCACATGCTCCATTGCACATGCTCCATTGCACATGTTCCATTGCACATGCTCCATTGCACATGCTCCATTGCACATGCTCCATTGCACATGCTCCATTGCACATGCTCCATTGCACATGCTCCATTGCACATGTTCCATTGCACATGCTCCATTGCACATGCTCCATTGCACATGTTCCATTGCACATGTTCCATTGCACATGCTCCATTGCACATGTTCCATTGCACATGTTCCATTGCACATGCTCCATTGCACATGCTCCATTGCACATGTTCCATTGCACATGTTCCATTGCACATGCTCCATTGCACTTGTCCCATTGCACATGCTCCATTGCACATGCTCCATTGCACATGCTCCATTGCACATGCTCCATTGCACATGTTCCATTGCACATGCTCCATTGCACATGCTCCATTGCACATGTTCCATTGCACATGCTCCATTGCACATGCTCCATTGCACATGCTCCATTGCACATGTTCCATTGCACATGTTCCATTGCACATGCTCCATTGCACATGTTCCATTGCACATGCTCCATTGCACATGCTCCATTGCACATGTTCCATTGCACATGCTCCATTGCACATGCTCCATTGCACATGCTCCATTGCACATGTTCCATTGCACATGTTCCATTGCACATGTTCCATTGCACATGTTCCATTGCACATGTTCCATTGCACATGCTCCATTGCACATGTTCCATTGCACATGCTCCATTGCACATGCTCCATTGCACATGCTCCATTGCACATGCTCCATTGCACATGCTCCATTGCACATGTTCCATTGCACATGCTCCATTGCACATGTTCCATTGCACATGTTCCATTGCACATGCTCCATTGCACATGTTCCATTGCACATGTTCCATTGCACATGCTCCATTGCACATGCTCCATTGCACATGTTCCATTGCACATGCTCCATTGCACATGCTCCATTGCACATGCTCCATTGCACATGCTCCATTGCACATGTTCCATTGCACATGTTCCATTGCACATGCTCCATTGCACATGTTCCATTGCACATGTTCCATTGCACATGCTCCATTGCACATGTTCCATTGCACATGCTCCATTGCACATGCTCCATTGCACATGCTCCATTGCACATGCTCCATTGCACATGCTCCATTGCACATGCTCCATTGCACATGCTCCATTGCACATGCTCCATTGCACATGTTCCATTGCACATGTTCCATTGCACATGTTCCATTGCACATGCTCCATTGCACATGTTCCATTGCACATGTTCCATTGCACATGCTCCATTGCACATGCTCCATTGCACATGCTCCATTGCACATGTTCCATTGCACATGTTCCATTGCACATGTTCCATTGCACATGTTCCATTGCACATGTTCCATTGCACATGCTCCATTGCACATGCTCCATTGCACATGTTCCATTGCACATGCTCCATTGCACATGCTCCATTGCACATGCTCCATTGCACATGCTCCATTGCACATGCTCCATTGCACATGCTCCATTGCACATGTTCCATTGCACATGTTCCATTGCACATGTTCCATTGCACATGCTCCATTGCACATGCTCCATTGCACATGCTCCATTGCACATGCTCCATTGCACATGCTCCATTGCACATGCTCCATTGCACATGCTCCATTGCACATGCTCCATTGCACATGCTCCATTGCACATGCTCCATTGCACATGTTCCATTGCACATGTTCCATTGCACATGTTCCATTGCACATGCTCCATTGCACATGCTCCATTGCACATGCTCCATTGCACATGCTCCATTGCACATGCTCCATTGCACATGCTCCATTGCACATGTTCCATTGCACATGTTCCATTGCACATGCTCCATTGCACATGTTCCATTGCACATGTTCCATTGCACATGCTCCATTGCACATGCTCCATTGCACATGCTCCATTGCACATGCTCCATTGCACATGCTCCATTGCACATGCTCCATTGCACATGCTCCATTGCACATGCTCCATTGCACATGCTCCATTGCACATGCTCCATTGCACATGCTCCATTGCACATGTTCCATTGCACATGTTCCATTGCACATGTTCCATTGCACATGCTCCATTGCACATGCTCCATTGCACATGCTCCATTGCACATGCTCCATTGCACATGTTCCATTGCACATGCTCCATTGCACATGCTCCATTGCACATGTTCCATTGCACATGCTCCATTGCACATGCTCCATTGCACATGCTCCATTGCACATGTTCCATTGCACATGTTCCATTGCACATGCTCCATTGCACATGCTCCATTGCACATGCTCCATTGCACATGCTCCATTGCACATGCTCCATTGCACATGCTCCATTGCACATGTTCCATTGCACATGCTCCATTGCACATGCTCCATTGCACATGTTCCATTGCACAGGTTCTATTGCACATGTTCCATTGCACATGTTCCATTGCACATGCTCCATTGCACATGCTCCATTGCACATGCTCCATTGCACATGTTCCATTGCACATGTTCCATTGCACATGTTCCATTGCACATGTTCCATTGCACATGTTCCATTGCACATGTTCCATTGCACATGTTCCATTGCACATGCTCCATTGCACATGTTCCATTGCTCGTGTTCCATTGCACATGTTCCATTGCACATGTTCCATTGCACATGTTCCATTGCACATGTTCCATTGCACATGTTCCATTGCACATGTTCCATTGCACATGTTCCATTGCACATGTTCCATTGCACATGTTCCATTGCACATGTTCCATTGCACATGTTCCATTGCACATGTTCCATTGCACATGTTCCATTGCACATGTTCCATTGCACATGTTCCATTGCACATGTTCCATTGCACATGCTCCATTGCACATGCTCCATTGCACATGCTCCATTGCACATGCTCCATTGCACATGCTCCATTGCACATGCTCCATTGCACATGCTCCATTGCACATGCTCCATTGCACATGTTCCATTGCACATGCTCCATTGCACATGCTCCATTGCACATGCTCCATTGCACATGCTCCATTGCACATGTTCCATTGCACATGTTCCATTGCACATGTTCCATTGCACATGTTTTATTGCACATGTTCCATTGCACATGTTCCATTGCACATGTTCCATTGCACATGCTCCATTGCACATGTTCCATTGCACATGTTCCATTGCACATGCTCCATTGCACATGCTCCATTGCACATGTTCCATTGCACATGCTCCATTGCACATGCTCCATTGCACATGTTCCATTGCACATGTTCCATTGCACATGTTCCATTGCACATGTTCCATTGCACATGTTCCATTGCACATGTTCCATTGCACATGTTCCATTGCACATGCTCCATTGCACATGCTCCATTGCACATGCTCCATTGCACATGTTCCATTGCACATGCTCCATTGCACATGCTCCATTGCACATGCTCCATTGCACATGCTCCATTGCACATGCTCCATTGCACATGCTCCATTGCACATGCTCCATTGCACATGCTCCATTGCACATGCTCCATTGCACATGTTCCACTCTCACTCATCCGCTGCAATGCCGCCCGTACCAATAGCATCGTACCATCCGCAGCACAGACACAATGGGTCGAAACAGAACGACAGCTACGTCTCATGCTACACGGCGGAATGGTCCGTTTCAGCAGCTGACTCGTGTGCTATTGCCTGTATGACGTGAAGTGAGCATTAATCTTGTGTGCCTGTGGTTGCAGAAATTTCCTTCTAATACACACAGGCGCAATCACCTTGCGTGGTACGGGCAATAGCACGGAAATCAGCCACTGAAAATAGACCAATCCGGGTTGTGGCATGAGATGCAGCTGCTGTTCCGTTACGATTCGCCATGTCTGCGGTGCAATAAGAAGTGACTCTGTTGGTACGGGCGGCAGTGGTACGGACCAACCAGCACCACCATCCACCGCTTGCTACTGGCTGTCCTGGTCACACAGGACAGAACATGCCAGACAATGCCAAACTTCCCCACCTTCTCAACGGCCAGCTGCAGCTTGTCGTTGGCAACCCTAGCCCTCACGTCTGGCTGTGCCAGCAACTCCCTCAGCGACTGCCACACGCTCTGTGACACAGGGAAAGAGGAGAAGGGGGAGGAGAATGCGGGCTTTGATGTCTCAAAACAAAGTTTCCAGATGCCGCAGCACGAGCCCTCTTTCCCCATGGACCGTTCCCCATGGACCGTTCCCCATGGACCGTTCCCCATGGACCGTTCCCCATGGACCGTTCCCCATGGACCGTTCCCCATGGACCGTTCCCCATGGACCGTTCCCCATGGACCGTTCCCCATGGACCGTTCCCCATGGACCGTTCCCCATGGACCGTTCCCCATGGACCGTTCCCCATGGACCGTTCCCCATGGACCGTTCCCCATGGACCGTTCCCCATGGACCGTTCCCCATGGACCGTTCCCCATGGACCGTTCCCCATGGACCGTTCCCCATGGACCGTTCCCCATGGACCGTTCCCCATGGACCGTTCCCCATGGACCGTTCCCCATGGACCGTTCCCCATGGACCGTTCCCCATGGACCGTTCCCCATGGACCGTTCCCCATGGACCGTTCCCCATGGACCGTTCCCCATGGACCGTTCCCCATGGACCGTTCCCCATGGACCGTTCCCCATGGACCGTTCCCCATGGACCGTTCCCCATGGACCGTTCCCCATGGACCGTTCCCCATGGACCGTTCCCCATGGACCGTTCCCCATGGACCGTTCCCCATGGACCGTTCCCCATGGACCGTTCCCCATGGACCGTTCCCCATGGACCGTTCCCCATGGACCGTTCCCCATGGACCGTTCCCCATGGACCGTTCCCCATGGACCGTTCCCCATGGACCGTTCCCCATGGACCGTTCCCCATGGACCGTTCCCCATGGACCGTTCCCCATGGACCGTTCCCCATGGACCGTTCCCCATGGACCGTTCCCCATGGACCGTTCCCCATGGACCGTTCCCCATGGACCGTTCCCCATGGACCGTTCCCCATGGACCGTTCCCCATGGACCGTTCCCCATGGACCGTTCCCCATGGACCGTTCCCGCATGTCTGCCTGCTGTGCCAGCACCTCCCCCAGTGGAAGTGACTGCCACGCGCTATGCGAGACAGGGAGGGGCGAAGGGGGAAGGCAGAGCGGGTTACACAATATCCCCGTGCAAGTGCTCTTTCTCGCACGCCTCTCTGCACGTCTCGCTGTGCGAGCACCTCCCTCAGTGGCTGACAGCTAAAAGGCAAGTGAGCTGATTTGATCTTTCAATGAGGTGACTCCTGAAATCGATCCACAAGAGGTTTCCCCCTGCTCACCTGCATGAAGGCGCCCCCTCCGCCCAGCAGGATGTAATGCGCGGCGTGCAGATGACCGAATAGGTCGCTCTCCCTCACCACCAGCTGCCAGGGAAACAGCAGGAGGGGCAGGGAGATGGCATGGAAGGGAGCGGATGAGAGAGCAGGTGGTGAGATGACGAGGTCGCAGCTGCTGTGCAGACGGCCAAAAAGGTCGCTCTCCCCCACCACCAGCTGCCAGAAGGACAGCAGGGAGACGTGGGCCAACAAAGAAGACGGGGGGGTTGGGGGAAGGTTATGAGATTGAGAGAGAAGGTGGTAAGGTGATGACATGTTAGCTGGCATGCAAATGACCAAAATCGGCACTCTCCCTCACCATCACCTGCAGGGGGACAGCAGGGAGAGACATGGACCAACAAAAAGGAGGGGAGGGGGAGAGGGAGGGAGAAGGGGGGCTTGATGGGAAGGAATGCAAAAAAAACCAACAAACAAACAAACAAACAAACAAACAAACAAACAAACAAACAAACAAACAAACCGCCTCTGCACACATGTGACAGTGAGCCGAGATGGCCCCTTTGTTGCCAGCTGTTCAAAATACACGTGTACACATGTATAAACATTATATCAAAGAAGAAAACATACCTGCCACAGGCGGTGCGCTGCTCGTTTCCTGGCTGCCTCCACCACATCATGCACCCGCTGCTCGTCCCATGCGTGCTTGGTGCGGCCCTTCTGCCCCCATGCAGCGGCATGGTGATTTGAATGAAGACGGAAGAAAGTGGGGGGAGGACGTTGACATGTTGTTCCTGACATTTTGTCCCTGTTAGTCCCACATAGTGCTTTGAATTGAAGGCAAGGGAAGGATGGTTGAGAGGCACAGAGAGGGGAGCGGTAGAAACGTCACACTGCATGCATCCCTGTAGTACCATTGCTCTTGCTGTGCCGCATGATGGAAGCTGGGGTGGGGTCAGAACTGAAACGCGGAGGCCATGATACGGAGGAGGGTAGTAGAGTAGAAACGAGGAGGTCAAAATGCAGCTACGTGATAAAAGTGATATTTTGAGACGTCTCGAACCAGAACAGCGGCCACAAACATCACAAACAACCATCAGGAGCCATCGCAGCGGAGGTCTGATGGCATGCCTCACCATGGGCATGTGACTGATCGGGGGTGCCAGTATACTGTGGCATTCGAGTGGTCCTTTATCAAGACACTCGATCAATCCCGCCCCTCCCTTGCTCCGCTCACACTCACTCGCACTGCCAGCACACTGTCACATTCTCTCTCATCGTCTCACAACTCAGAAACACTCATCCGAATAGCATAGCCAGCTGTCGAGGATTCCCTTCACGTCCTCCTTATGATTCCGCTGCCTGCGGACAGGAACCTCCCTTGCTCCGCACGGAACTCACCCGCAGGGCCAGCACACTGTCGACAATTCCCTCCACGTCAGCATTGGAACTCTCTCCCCTCCCTTGCTTGCTGCGCACAGCACTCACCTTCAGCGCCAGCACACTGTCCAGTATCCTCTTCACGTCTGCCTCGTGCTTGCACTGCCTGCTGCTGCCCGCCCCTCCCCCGCTCAGCTCACTCTCACTGCGCCGCCCCGCCTCCTGCAGCAGAAGCATGGCTCGCCCCACAAACAGCGCCGCCTCCGCTGTCTCAGGTGCAAAGTCAGGCGGCAACTGGGCCTGGTTGGGGTGGGAGAGGGCGGAGTGGGGGAAATGGGGTGGGGGCGGGAAGTGGAATGGGGGAAGTGGGGCACGGCACGGGTAGGAAGTATTTGTAACTCTTCTCCTCTCGCCCCTCAAACAGCGCCGTCTCCGCTGTCTCAAGTGCAAAGTCAGGGGGCAGCTGTGTCGTTGGGGTGGGCGAAGGAGGGGTGGGTGGGGGAAGTGGGGTGGGTAACAAGGAGGTTGGGGGTTGGGTGGTTGCGAGACATGAGGAAAAGAGGCACGTAAACACGCTACCCAACCCCACGCCCCATCCGCCCCACCCCACGCCCCATTTGCCCCACCACACACCCATCCGCCCCACCCCACGCCCATCCGCCCCACCCCACGCCCATCCGCCCCACCCCACGCCCCATCCGCCCCACCACACGCCCCATCCGCCCCACCACACGCCCCATCCGCCCCACCCCACGCCCATCCGCCCCACCCCACGCCCATCCGCCCCACCACACGCCCCATCCGCCCCACCACACGCCCCATCCGCCCCACCACACGCCCATCCGCCCCACCACACACAACCATCCGTCCCACCTCATTGATGCTGTACTCGTCCCAGGAAACAATGCAACCACCCCCCTAATGATGATAGATGTGTTTTGAGACGTGAGACGACACAATACACGTCCACTCGCCCCACCTCACGCCCATCCGCCCCACCTCATTGATGCTGTACTCGTCCCAGGAAACAATGCCGTTGACTCCCCTCTCCTCCCTCCTATCTGCTCTGCTCTCCACCCCTGCACCACGCCCGGGTGCTGGTGAGGTAGCACGTGCAGCCCTGTGGAGGGATGCCCGCTCACAAGCAAAGGCCCGCTCACAAGCAAAGGCCCGTGCATGCATGCAGATGCACACATGCATGCACAACCAGATATGCACATGCACACATACACATACACATACAGATACACATACACATGCACATGCACATGCACATGCACATACACATGCGCACACACATGCGCACACACATACACATGCACATACACATGCACATACACATGCACATACACATGCACATACACATGCACATACACATGCACATACACATGCACATACACATGCACATACACATGCACATACACATGCACATACACATGCACGTACACATGCACGTACACATACACATGCACGTACACATAAACATGCACATGCCAACCACACATACGTCAAATACGAACAGAAGATTTAGTAATCAGAATGAGACAAAGAGAGGGGTCGCAACAGGGGAGAGCACGATTCCCTGTCATTGAGCCAACATATGATGCCAGAAGAGAGAGGAGAGGAGAGAAGAGGAGAGGAGAGGAGAGGAGAGAAGAGGAGAGGAGAGGAGAGGAGAGGAGAGGAGAGGAGAGAAGAGGAGAGGAGAGGAGAGGAGAGGAGAGGAGAAAAGAGGAGAGGAGAGGAGACGAGACGAGAAGAGAGGAGGGGGAGGGGAGAAAAGAGGAGGGGAGGAGAAGAGGAGAGGGAGAGAGGAGGAGAGGGGGAAAGGAGGGCAGGGCAATGAATGGGCACCTGGTGATGAAGAACTCGGCGCCGCCATCGGGGGGCAAGGTGCCAAACGCCATCCAGTGCGCCAGCTGCCCCAGCCACACGCGCTGACAGTGGCGGATGCCCCTGTGGGGGGAGATGCACGCAAGGGGCGGGATAGAGGAGGGCAGGGGGGCAGCAACGTGAATAGGACTGAATGACGCTGAGAGGGGAAACGAGATCTCTCATGTGGCACATATGTTTGCGATGTGAAAGTGACTAGGTGAGCTTACAAAAAGAACGTGACTATTATAGAGAGAGAGTGGCAACTTGCCCGATTGGAAAGAAATTGACTAGTGGCTTACGTGTCGAGAGCGACTGATAGCAGGCAGGGCCCGAAGCTGCTCTCCTGCTCGAGATAGCGGAGAAGGTGGGCGCCTGTGAGGTTGTGTTGCTCTATGGCGGATGTGACTCTAACGAGGCCTGTCAGCAGTTGTTCATACTGCAGCACGGAGAAGGGGGATGGAGGTTAATCAATCAATGAAGACTAAACTTTAATGGAGGTTAACCAGTGGAGGGGCGAGTGGAAAGGCAGAGCAGAAAAGTGGAGAGGCAGAGTGGAGGGGCAGAGTGGAGAGGCAGAGTGGAGGGGCAGAGTGGAGAGGCAGAGTGGAGAGGCAGAGTGGAGAGGCAGAGTGGAGAGGCAGAGTGGAGAGGCAGAGTGGAGAGGCAGAGTGGAGAGGCAGAGTGAAACAGTGGCGCTTTTTAATATAATCAGAAGTGATTTCAACAGAAACATGGAGGGAGGCTTCAGCTTACCATGGAGAGCGCCCAGATGGTTTGCATGGGGTGGTGGGAGGAAAAGAAGCACTTTTGAGGAGGCTCTTTTGAGGAGGCTCTTTTGAGGAGGCTCTTTTGAGGAGGCTCTTTTGAGGAGGCTCTTTTGAGGAGGCTCTTTTGAGGAGGCTCTTTTGAGGAGGCCCTTTTGAGGAGGCTCTTTTGAGGAGGCTCTTTTGAGGAGGCTCTTTTGAGGAGGCTCTTTTGAGGAGGCCCTTTGAGGAGGCTCTTTTGAGGAGGCTCTTTTCAGGAGGCTCTTTTGAGGAGGCTCTTTTGAGGAGGCTCTTTTCAGGAGGCTCTTTTCAGGAGGCTCTTTTGAGGAGGCTCTTTTGAGGAGGCTCTTTTGAGGAGGCTATTTTGAGAAGAAGCTCTTTTGAGAAGAGGCTATTTTAAGAATGGTCAAGAGTGCATCGAAGAGAAACAGCAAGGCTAATCCAATTCAGCGTACCACGGAGAGCTTGGCCCAGATGGTTCGCACGGGGGGCGGGGAGGAGAAGAGGCGGTCCACCTCGTGTGTGTAGGGCAGCAGCGCCTCCTCCTCCACACACGTAGCTAACGCACACTGCAAACCACTCGCACCCGCTGCTGCTCCTGCCAGCACCCTGTGCGACGCATCCCGTCCACTCTCTGACACTGAGGTAATCCCCCCAGCCGCTCCAGCCAGGCTGTATGGTGCTGAGGCTGAGAGAGGCGCTGCGACTGAGGTTGAGAGTGACGCTGGGAGGGACGCAGCGAGAGAGGCTGTAGCGGCGGCGCTGATGGCGGCGCTGCGGGCGTCCAGGAGGCGGCGGGCGAAGCGGTGGATCGCTGCCACGCACGCTGCCAGCTGGAGGAGCTTCTCCACCCACGGCCTGTGACGTGGACGAATGGGATGAGGACGTGTGGGATGGGGACGTATGGATGACGCGGATGCCTGGAGGACACATAGGCTGCATATACTGATTCCACGGACGTGTAGACGTGGAGATGAATTTGATTCTAGTGAGACTTAGTGAATCCGAACATTAATGACTGTGCGTCCCTTTTTAATATCTCTTCTAATATCTCAGAAGTGGATCCGATTCTTTTTTGGAAATTTCAACAGTGAATCTGAATCGGCCAGATGTCTCACGAGCGTTCACTCATGATAACTCTAGATTCCATTTTTTAAGTGCTCCAGAACTCGACTCATGACACTGAAATCCAACTAAAAGAGGAATTATGACGCGAAGTGAGATTGGTGGAACGGGCGTAATAAAGATGACGCAGGCGGGACCTCGGTTTTGTCGCGGGACATGATGACGGTGAGCGACTCACAGCTCGTCCGTTGGATCAAACGAGTCTTTTGAAACGAACGGCGAATGTGCTGCCTGGGTCCAAGAGGCAGCATCGCGCGGCGAAGCGTTCGAATTCGCTGCGAGCTCTCGTGGCTGGCCGCGAAGAGCCAGCAGCAGCTCCTGGCGCGACGAGATCATCTAGGCGGGGAAACAAAGGGGCTCAAACGGGTGTGGCGGACACTCGTTTTACAAAAACTCCAGATTTGAAAGCTGGTACTCAAACTGAGACTCATAAGCTAGAGTGGCTCATAAGCTTTCAACGCTGACGAGAAAGTAGCTGATTCTCACGAGAATACTAGGATCCGCTTGCTGCGCCATAAAATTGCTTTTGTGGTAGAGAGGGCTGGCTGGTCTCACTCATCAAGATGTAGAGAAAGATAAGTTCATTTATTGTAACCACCAAGACTTCCTGTTCGTCTTGGCGAACGAGAAACCATCAGAATGGTTACACCCTAACACGCAAACTCGACTCAAGGCCTGAATTTCCTCCTCGAATCCTCTCCAACCTCTCACCGCTGATTTCCACCATTCACTTTTCAGCTGTCAGGCTCACTCACAGCCTGCAATTTGGATAACCTCAGACGCTGTTTTTCAACTGGTAGCAGATCGAGCGTTCTTGCAGTCATGGCGGCGGGCGGCAGCGACGACGAGAGCATCGCCGATGGATCCTCGTTCGAGATTAAGATAAAGACGCTCGATAACCGCACCTTCGATGTCGCCGTGCATCCTGAGGTGGGATCGTTCACCACGGCTCGTTGAACGTCTGCGGCACCTTTCGTTACACTTGTCGCTTTTCCTTTTCGCGATGTTAGGGGTTTTCCACTAAGCTTATGCGTTTCACGTTCCCAGCTCCAGCATCCATCCATCCGCCTTCCCGTTTCAGCAGTTCACCGTCTGTTCCCCCACCCAGATTCTCGTGTTCACCCTTAACGCCATTGCACCGCTGCCGAGCGTTGCTTGCAGCAAGTGCTCCTCGGAAAAGATGCTCAAGTTTCGCCAACTGTTTTTTACCTCCTCCCGCCTACCTCCCCTTCCCTCGTCTCACCGAGCAGATGCTCGTCTCCACCCTCAAGGAACGCATTGCACCGCTGCTGGGCGTGCCGGCGGGCAGGCAGCGGCTGGTGTTCCGCGGGAAGGTGCTCAAAGACGACAGCACCGTCGCGTCCTACGGTACGCCGCACCATCCCTCCCTCCTTCCCCCCTGCGTCTTACGGTATGCGCCTTCTCTCCCTCCTTCCCCCCGCGTCCTACGTACGCGCCTTCACTCCCCCCTCTTCCCTGTGGCCTACGGTACGCGTCTTCACACTCCCTCGTTCCCCCGGCCGCTATGGTAGGCCGCGCCGTCTCTCCCTCCTTCCCCCCGCCCCCCTTTCCCCCCTCACCGCTACTGTAGGCGCCATCACCCTATTCCCCCCGGCCCCCCCGCCCTTCCGCCGCCGCTACTGTACACGCCATCACTCCCTCCTTCCCCCCGACCCCCTCCCCCCCGCTGCTACGGTAGGCTACGGTAGGCCGCGTGCTACGGTAGGCGGCTGCACTACTTGTGTGATCCATGCTGGGTTGGTTGGCAACTTGGTGTGGCCGCGCGCGACTCTCTCACTCGAGAGTCGACCCAAATAGCATGCAACTCTCTGCCGTGAGGGTCGACTCGACTCAACCGGCTGAAAGACGAATGGGGTCGGGTGTTGCGTTTGAGTTTGGGTGAAACAGACATGCCATGTCACTGCGTCCACTTCCCGCCTTGCTGTACATGTGTCATGTACCCCCGGCCGGCCCCGACTGACCCTGAGGGCGAGAGGCCACGTGATGCATGCATCTGCTGTTGCATCTGGGCTGGGTCGAGCGAGGGTGGTGAATCTGAGTGGCTTGAACTAGAATCACATTGTTTTGCTCTTCTGTGATTCACGATTCTGATTGGCTAGCTACCTGTCGATCACCTGTGCATATGTGTATTTGCAGGACTAGAGGCGGGGCACGTGGTGCATCTGGTGTCGCGGCTGGGGCGAGCCGAGGGCGAGGGGGAGGGCGGGGGAGGGGAGGGAGGGACGGTGCGGACAAGGGCAGGCGAGGGGGCGGGGGGAGGTGGGCCTGGGGGTGGCTCCAGTCAACCGCTGACTCACATGCAGATAGGTCAGCGCGTGTACCTTGTATCTGTATCTTGCTCTCCGTAATGCTCTGATTTGTCTTTCCCCCCTCACACGCTCACCTCCGCTGCATGCACATGCTGCTCAACACTCGCATTCTAAATCTGCACGCATTCGACCTGTTACCGTATGATCGTTCAACCGCACTGCACCGGGTGCCGTGCCGTGCCGCTCTCACCATCCCGTGCTGTGGTTGTGGACGTGTACGAGCAGACGGCATGCCGGGGGCAGCCACGCTACACATGGGGTCAGTCAACATTCACACGGACGGCTCCCCAATCATGCCGGACCTCAACCAGGTGACTGCAGCACTCCCCCACTACCAGCACTCCCCCACTACCAGCACTCCCCCACTACCAGCACTCCCCCACTACCAGCACTCCCCCACTACCAGCACTCCTCTACTGCCAGCATTCGTAGCGCGGGTCTTATGTGGGTGGGTGATGCTACCCACCTTGTGGGTCAGCCACGCGCCACTTGGGCTGAGTCAACGTTCTCACGGACGGCTCTCCGCCAATGACACTGGACCCCAACCAGGTGGGTGGAGCGGCAGCTTGGCAGGAAGAATCCAGGCAACACCCGGGCCTTGTTGCTGTGCAGCACGTGGGCTGTGCAGTGCACACTTGTCGTTGCTTTGCTCCGTGCACGTGTGTGTGTGTGTGTGTGTGTGTGTGTGTGTGTGTGTGTGTGTGTGTGTGTGTGTGTGCATTCATACACAATCGTACACATTCACTCGTGAGTGAGTCGAATCAACAAAGTCATGAGTGAATATGCATGATATGCACATGGGCTCCGTGTGGTGCAGATAGGCTCTGTGCGGTGCACATGGGCTCTGTGCAGTGCATTCATTCGTACACATTCATGTCTGCCTTGCTGAGCTCCCTCGGACGATCGTCTTTGCACCTCAAGAATTGTTCACCTCCTCCCCCCTGCGCGCCCAGTGCAGATCGCAATGGCATGCTCAGTGCAGATCGCAATGGCATGCCCAGCCGCATGCGGCGGAAAACCTTTGCCAGCAACGCCACTTGTAACACGCTTCAATTCTTCCCCTCCTCTCCCATACCCCCTTCTCCCCGCAGATCGTGACTGGCGTTCTGAGCTCCATTGGTCTCAACCCCTTGGCAGGCAACACCAGCGCCACCATCAACGTGACCCAGCCAGGCGGCATACCGGGTGGGGCGGCAGGGGGAGGATCGGCAGGAGCAGCAGCAGGGAGAGGAGGTGCTGGAGGAGGGGCGGCAGGGGGAGGAGGGGCGGCAGGAGGAACAGGAGGAGGGGTAGGAGGGGGAGCGGAAGGAGCGGGAGGGAGAGGAGGAGGGGATGATGCAGGGAGGGCACACGGAGGGCCGGAGTTTCAGATTCATGTTGACACTGTGATTCAAGGCCCCATGCCCATGCCCATGCCCATGGGTGTTCCTATGGGCGTTCCCATGGGTGTGCCCATGCACGTGCCCATGCCCATGCAGATGGGCATGCAGATGCCTATGCACATGCCTATGGGTATGCCCATGCCTATGCCCATGGGCATGCCTATGCCTATGGGTGCCGGTAATCCCGATGCTGCTGGCGGTGCTGCTGGTGGCGCTGCTGGTGGTGGAGGTGGGGGGGGGATGGCAGGAGGGGGCAGTCAGCGCACGAGCTGGCATGTTGTGGTGCCGCCTCATGCACAGGTGGGTGCTGCTGCTGCTGCTGCTGCTGCTGCTGCTGCTGCTGCTGCTGCTGCTGCTGCTGTGTGTGTGTGTGTGTGTGTGTGCGTGTGTGCGTGTGTGTGTGTGTGTGTGTGTGTGTGTGTGTTCGTGTGTGTTCGTGTGTGTGTGTGTGTGTGTGTGTGTGTGTTCGTTTGTGCATGTGCATGTGTGCAAAAGTGTGTCAGTGTGTGGATGTGTGTGTGCATGTGCATGTGTGCAAATGTGTGTCAGTGTGTGGATGTGTGAGTTCATGTGTGCAGTGCGGGTGTGTCCCTTCTTCGTACCCCTTTCTCCCTCACCCTCCCCTCCCCTGGTCGAATCACTGCTCCCTTCAATGCTCGTTCCCCATACAGGCAGCGGGCCTACACACGCTGGCAACCATTGACGCATACCCCACTCACACACCGTCACAACTCCTCCTTTCCCCTTTTCTCCCCCTCGCTCCCTGCTGTCACCGCTCCCTTCAATGAACCCTATCGCAGGCAGCAGGCCTGGACTCACTCGCGACCATTGACGCGTACCTCACTCGCACACAGTCACATCTCGTTTCCCCTATTCTCTTCCTCGCTTCCTGCTATCACCGCTCCCTTTAATGAACCCTATGGCAGGCGGCAGGGCTGGACTCACTGGCGACCATCGACGCGTACCTCTCTCGCCTCCACAACTCGCTGCTGCCTGCCGCCTCCTCTGGTACCCTCCTGCCCCTCCACCCCTCCACCCCGCCACCCGCCCACCCACCCATGCAACCACACACGCACACACGCACTCACTCACCCACCCATCCACCCAATCACCCAACCACACACACACGCACCGACTCTTCCACCCCGCTGCAAAACGTGTGAGCTGGCTGGCTCCGAAGCCGACTTGCCATGCCATGCCACCCCCCCCCCCACTCCACCAGGTGCGCCGCAGGCAGAGAGGGAGCAAGCTCGCCGCCAGGCCCTCGCCCCGCTGCCGCGACTAGCTGCCAACATTCGCCGCCTCGAAAGCATCCTCCGCGGCTCCGCCTCGTCCCAGCTGCTGGTATGACCCCTCACTTTCTTTTGTTGATGCCTTTGAGAACTCCCAAAAGCCCTTCAGATTCTTGACGCGCCTCAATGATTTGTGGCACTGACCCTCCTCATATTACATAGTCTCAGAGATCTCAGTGTCTCAGTGTCTCAGAGGTCTCAGTGTCTCAGAGGTCTCAGAGATCTCAGTGTCTCAGAGGTCTCAGAGATCTCAGTGACTCAGAGGTCTCAGAGATCTCAGTGTCTCAGAGGTCTCAGAGATCTCAGTGTCTCAGAGGTCTCAGAGATCTCAGTGTCTCAGAGATCTCAGTGTCTCAGAGTCGCCTCAGAGTGTGTATCTCACAGGCCTTGTATCTCACGGTGTCGCCAGTTGCCAGCCGCATTGGAGTCGTTCTCAAAAGTTACTCCCACATAGCTGCCCTGCCCATGCTGGAAATGGGACTGAGGTGATTTGGGCAGTCGCCTCAAGCATGGCGTGGAAAGAGTTCTCAGAAGCCGCGCCTTGTCACAGCTTAGGGTAGTCCCGTGCGCCTTCTCAGCATCTCAGGGTCCCAGTTCTCTTCCTCTTTAACTGCTTCTTCCAAGCAACCGTTCCACACCGCTCTCGACCAAGCCGCTACAAGAACCTGGCAGTGCGGTGCGGGTAGAGGGAGCAGCATCAGTGAGGGACGCTGCAGAGTGGGCTTTGACGTCCAGTCCAGCATGCTCAATTTCTCCTCGCCTTTTAACCTGCTCCTCCCTCGGCACCATTCCACACCACTCTGCACCCCCTCCCCAGAACCTGGCGTCACGGCTGGAGGGGCGGCGTCAGTGCGGGACGCGGCAGAGCGGGCGGCGGCAAGGGAGGTGGTGGAGGGCGTGGGGCACACGCTGCAGCAGATGGGCCCTCTGCTGCTCGAGCTGGGCCGGCTGTGCCACTCCGTGCAAATGGGCGATACCGTGGTGAGTGGCGGGAAGGAGGAGAGGGAGAGAGCTGGGGTGGAGATGCCTTGTGGGATGAGCCGGTAGGGATGGGGAGGTAGTGGAAGGGATAAAACACATATACACACTCTCTCACTCTCCACCTACGTCTCTCCCTTCCCCTTACAACCCTCCGTTCCTTGTCGTTTTTCCCATCTGCATCCCTGTACCTGTCCACGTCCCTCTTTGCCTACCTTTCCGTCCGCCACGGGCAGGGAGAGGCGAGGCTGCAGGCGTCTCAGCCGGTGTTCATCAACCAGTTCGGCCCCAACCCCGTCATCACTCAGGTGGGTGGGGCTCACAGGTCAACGCAGGTGGGGCTCAGAGGTCAACGCAGGTGGGGCTCAGAGGTCAACGCAGGTGGGGCTCAGAGGTCAACGCAGGTGGGGCTCAGAGGTCAACGCAGGTGGGGCTCAGAGGTCAACGCAGGTGGGGCTCAGAGGTCAACGCAGGTGGGGCTCAGAGGTCAACGCAGGTGGGGCTCAGAGGTCAACGCAGGTGGGGCTCAGAGGTCAACGCAGGTGGGGCTCAGAGGTCAACGCAAGCAGGTGGGGCTCAGAGGTCAACGCTGTGATCACACACAGGGGAGGATAAGCTCAACCTCCCGCAATGTCATTTTCGCATTGTGATTTCATTCATTGTTGCACTGCATGGATCCATGGGGGATAAACGCTTGTGCTTTCGCATTCGGGACAGCGTCTGATATGGTTGCCAGATGTGTTGTTACCACATGTATTGTTACCACGTGTGTTGTTACCACGTGTGTTGTTACCACGTGTGTTGTTACCACGTGTGTTGTTACCACGTGTGTTGTTACCACGTGTGTTGTTACCACGTGTGTTGTTACCACGTGTGTTGTTACCACGTGTGTTGATACCACGTGTGTTGTTACCACGTGTGTTGTTACCACGTGTGTTGTTACCACGTGTGTTGTTACCACGTGTGTTGTTACCACGTGTGTTGTTACCACGTGTGTTGTTACCACGTGTGTTGTTGCATGTGCTTCCTCAGAGAGTTGCTGACGTGTCAGAGCAGCAAAGGAGCAGCAGCAGCAGCAGCAGCAAGTGGAGGACTACCATATCAACCTCCAACCAGGTACTCTCACTCACACACTGTGGACTGTGGACACGCGCTTGCACATCAACCACGCACCCACATGCCTGACCGCCCGCCCATTCGCCCACCTGCTTGCGCGCTTGTGCATGCACATGCACATGCAAGCAGCTCATAAGCCTGTGCATGCACATGCACATGCACATGCAAGCAGCTCATGACCCTTGTACTCTAGGCTACAGACATCTCATAACCCCCGTTCCTGGGCAGTGGTCATGCACCGCACCAGCCATATGGGCTGCTTAGTCACACAACGTTCACGTGGAGCAACCTTTTGCATCCAAGTTCTCTTCATCTTGCGCACTGCGAGCCTCCCGGGATTGCTCTTTTCATGAAGAAATACTAACCTTCCGTTGCATCATTCGTCCCCTCCACGTGCCGGCAGGCTTCTTAGGGCCTCGCCCCGGAGCAGCACGTGGGGCACGAGCCTCTACCACTGCCCGCACCGCCCGCTCATCTGCTGCTGCCAGGACTGGCACTGGCGCTGCTGCTGCTGGCACTGGCACTGCTGCTGGTAGCACTGCGGCTGGTAGCAGTGCTGGTGGCACTTCTGCTACTGCTGATGGCTCCAGTGCTACAGGTTCCAGAGCCGCAGCACCAGCTGCCGCTGCTGCTGCTGGCGGATCGGGTGGTGGCAGTAGTGGAAGGACAGGTGGGGCTGGCGGAGGACGAAGGGAGGAGCCGCGTGGGCTGGGGCTTGGGCTGGGGATGGGCTTGCGTGCCCCAGGTGGGGCGAGGGGAAGGCAGACACAGGTGCAAGGGCAGGCACAGGGAGAGGCGCAGAGGCAGCAGCAGCAGCAGCAGCAGCAAACGCCATCGCAGGGTCAGCAGGGGGCAGGGCAGGTCCAGCTAGGGCCGGAGCAGGTGCAGCAGCTGGTGCAGTTACAGCAAGTGCTGCAGCAGCAGATGAGCCCGGCTCAGATGCAGCAGGCACAGCTCATGCTGGCCCAGCTGCAGCCGCAGCTGCAGGCCCTGCAGGGCGCAGCAGGCAGCCGCGGGGGTGCTGGGGCCGCGGGGGCAGCAGCAGGGGCAGCAGCAGGGTCAGCAGGGACAGGGACCAGCGCAGGGACAGGGACCAGGGGGGGCAGCAGACCGGCGCAACAGCAGCAACAGGGGCAGCAGGGGCTTGCACAGGGTGCATCACAGCAGGGTGCACAGGCGCAGGTGGTGCAGTTCCCCGCCATGGTGTCCATCATGGCCGGCCCTGGCCCCCTGCCCACCCTCCTCGTGCATCCCGGGGGGAGTGTGGCAGGTGCTGCTGCTGCTGCTGGAGGGGCGGGTGCTGCTGGGGGCGGTGCTGCTGGGAGCGGTGCTGCTGGGGGGACTGGTGGCATGGCGCATGGGATGGGGGGCATGTGGGGAATGGGGCAAGGCATGGGGGGGATGTACCAATACCCGTATCCTTACACATGGGGGTATTGGCAGCAGCAGGGGGAGGGGGGAGATGCAGAGGAAGGTGGGGAAGAGGGTGAGGACCGCGGGGGAGAGGGAGAGGAGGATGCGGAGAGGCAGAGGGAGATGGAGGAGGGGCGGTCGCAGCTGCTGGCAGCCATGTTCTCCGTGTTTGGGGACACACTCGAGTCGTGTGAGTCACACTGCTGGGAGCTGCTGGGGCTGGTGTTAGTAGGGTTTAAGTTTTTGTGGCAGTAGGTGCGCCTTAGTTGGTGTGGCGGTACTTGGTGTGGCGGTAGTCGTGGTTGGGGCATTTGAGGGGGTAGAGGCTGCCTGACTCAATAGCATCTCTCGTGTGAGGGCATCCTCTCCCTCACTTTCCTTTGCTCCTTGTTCTTCGCGTCCCTGTCCTCGCCCCGTCCCTAGTGACTAGTAGCCCATATCTCCACCAAAAATCACCTGTTCTTCTTCCCTTGTTCCGTCCATTGTACCTCCTGCGTGTGCCCTCGTGCCCATGCCATGGCAGTGGTGCCGGAAGAGGCAGAGCAGGCGGAGGGGGGAGGAGGGCAGGGAGGTGGAGAAGCAACTCAGCAGCTGGCAGGCAGCAGGGGCGGGCAGGAGGGGGAAGCCAAGGAGGGTGGTCAGACACCAGTTGGAGAGGCGGCAGGAGGAGGGGGGGAGGGGGAGAGGGGACCAGGGGGAGGGGGAGCAGGGGAGGAGGGGGAGGACGTGGGGCAGCGGCTGCTGCAGGCCATGGGGCCTCTGCTGCAGCGCCTCTCTGCTGCCATGCAGAGCCGCCAGGGGCAACAGGGGGAGCAGGGGCAACAGCAGCAGCAGCGGCAGCAGCAGCGGCAGCAGCAGCAGCAGCAGCAAGGGCAGCAGCAGCAAGGGGGGACGGGAGGAGGTGAAGCAGAGCAGGCGCAAGGGGCGGGTGGGGCAGCGGAGAAGGAAGGCGATGCGATGGAGTGTGACGGGAAGGAGGAGGGTGGCACGGAGGGGGGGGATGAGAGAGGGGAGGTCCCCGCTTGGAGCCCGCCTCCCCCTCCTCCTGCTGCACCGCCCCCTGCCTCTCCCCCACCTTCCTTCCCACCTGGAGCGCTACGCACATTTGCCCAGGTGGATTCTCAGGTGAAAGCACATGGATGCCATGACAGCGGCAGCAACTGCAGGAGCGATATTAGTGGTGGGCGCAGCAGTGGTGGAAGCAGCAGTAACAGCACAGAGCCGCACGTTGGGCATGACGAGAGGGGGCCACTCCCTGCTTACAGCCGTCCTCCTCCCCCCCCAAGCGCCCGCCCGTCACCCTCTCCCCCTGCTCCTGGCAAGAAGGCCGCATCATCAGATGCACAGGCAAGGCACATTCTCTTCACCTCATGACTCATCTGCCGTGCCCACACGTCTTGAGACGTCTCACTTTCGCATGCACAGGCAGGACACACATTCTCGTCACCTGACTTGTGCGCCCACGATGCACAATGGACGGGATGCTGCTTCACAACACACCCACCGCCCTACCTCGTCCTCCCCTCCTTCATATGTACCTCGTCCTCCCCTCCTTCATATGTACCTCTTTTTTCCTGCATAGAACATGCTTTCTCTTCTTCTTTCCTTCTTCCTGCCGGGTCTCCCCTCCTATCAACCACTGCAGCCAGCGGCAAATTCAAGTGCCACCCAGTCTGCCACTCCCCCATCCGGCCCTTCGGCCCCGCTGGGTCTGGGGGGAGGACTTGGCGTCACTCCCAAGCCAAAGGTAGGCCCATGCTGACGGTAAGTTTCCCCAGGCCTCACACCAGAATCCAAGCTAGGCTTTCTTACTGAGGACATTCCCTTTCTCCATTCACCCCCGCCTCCCTCCTGCCTTCATTTCTATCTCCTCCACCCCCTTCCCCCTTTGCTTCAGCCTTTTTGAATCGCCTCTCCGCTGCTGTTCCTCCCGTCCCCCCCTCCTCTTGCACAGCCCGCCTCGTTCGTTTCTTCACTCTCATTCTCCTGCCCCTGTTCCATCACTGCCCCGTGTTCCCCACATGTCTTCTCTCTCCAGCGCTCCACCAAGCCATCACAACCAGGCAGCAGCGGCAGCACCAGCAGCACCACTGGCACCTCGGCCAGCAGCAGCAGCGCTCCCCCATCAGGCTTAGACCTAGGGCTTCCGAGCCTGGCACCCAAACCTAAACAATCCCAGAGCAGCAAGCCCACTGGTGCAGGGGGCGGGGGAGGGGGAAGGGGAGGGGGAGGCACAGGGTCCGGTGCACTGGGGCTTGGATTGGGGATGGGACTACCAGGCATGGGCGGAGGGGGAGAGGGAGGGGGAAGGGGAGGAGGGGGGGAAAGGAGGCAAGCGCAGGGGAGAGGGGGTAGTGGGCGGGGGGCGAGTGGCGGAGCCCCTGACCTAGGCGGCATGTTTGAGGTGCTGGGGTCCCTGGGGATGGGCGGGGGGGCCATGGGCGCAGGTGGCATGGGGGGAGCGGGGCTAGGTCCGTTTGGGGGGATTGGGGCGCTGGGGGGGCTGCCAGGGATGCAAGGGGGCGCGCCTGCAGGCCTGGGCGGGCTGGGCTTGGCGCCAGGAGGAGGAGCAGCACGAGCAGGGGCAGCAGGGCGAGGGGCAGCAGGGCGAGGGGCAGCAGGGCGAGGGGCGTCCGAGGCGAATCCGCTGGGCGGCATGATGCAGCAGGCCCTGGCTGACCCCGCGCTGTCCCAGCTCATGCACGCCTTTGCTGCTGGCGCTGGCGCCATGGGGGGCTCTGGGGGGGCGCTGGGGGGAGGGGTGAGACGGGCAGGCGCAGGGACAGGTGGGGGGGGCGGGGGAGGCGGGGAGCTTGACCTGGGCGCGCTGCTGGGGGGATTGGGGGGGATCGGGGGGATGGGGGGTATGGGGGGGATGAGTGGTGGTGCGGGCAGTGTTGGGGGGCAGCAAGGGGGGATGGGTGGTGGTGGGCTTGACTTGGGGGCGCTGTTGGGAGGGTGGGGTGGACCGGGAGGGGGAATCATGGGTGGGGGTATGGGTGGGGGCATGGGAGGGGGCATGGGTGTGGAGGGAGAGGAGTTGGATTTCGGGCAGATGATGGCTGACGTCATGCCCATGGTGTCACAGATGCTGGGCGGCATGGGCCTGGGCGGCACAGGCGGCGGCTTGGGTGCTGGCATGGGTAGTGGGCGGAGGAGCACCGGGGGTGGCAGGCGAGTGGAGGAAGTAGAGGACGAGTGGAAGAACTCTCTCTCTCAGGTACGATGAGTGGGGACTGGCATTCTGGCATTCCCTCACTCCCTCACTCCCTCACACTCTCTCACTTTCTCAAGCAAGTGGGTATGATATTGTTTGAAAGATGCCAACAATCCACCCGACTATCTTGCACGGTACGCATATCTGACCTGACTGTGTCCTCATCCTCTCTACCCGCCTTCTCCCGCATTCCTCCCTGTTCCTTCTCATCTCCCGCATTCCTCCCTGTTCCTTCTCATCTCCCGCATTCCTCCCTGTTCCTTCTCATCTCTCTCCTCTCTCTGCTGCCACACGTGCACGTGGCAGACTGGGTGGCGAGCGTGAAAGAGGACCAGAGGCACCAGCGGGACATGCCTGATTGTTTTCTCATCGTGTCTGCACCCTCCTCCCCTCCCCCCCCCCGCCCTCCCTGCTCTCGCTGCCCGTAGGAGGAAGCGGAAGAGTGGGCGGCAATCATGGAAGAGGACGAGAAGCGCCAGAGGGACATGCCACGTCAGCGCCCCTTCAGCGATGCGTACTGGCGTGGGCAGCGTGGCAAGCCACCCGTGAGTCTTGGAGCTGCAATCCCTTTCTCCCCCCCTCCCACTTTAATAACTGAATCTCTTGTCGATTCATTACTTCCTCCCCCCCTCCCGCCCTCCATCCACTCTGTCCACTCCTTTCCCTCCATCCCCCCCCTTTTCCCTCTGTCTTCCCCCCTCTATTTTTCTTACTCTGCGCACTCTTACGCCGCCACTCCCCTCCCCTGCCACCTAACCCGATGCCTCTCCATCCCTCCGTTTCCCACTTCCCCCACTCCCAGCACCATCGCACCGACACGGCAGCACAGCTGTTGCAAACCGGCGCTCCTCCTTCTGCGGTGCTGGCTGCGGCCGTTAAGGCTGCTTCCACTGCCGCTGCTGCTGAGGGGGGAAGAGAGGAGGGGCGGCGGGGGGCTGGGATGCGGGGAGCAGTGGAGAGGAAGGAGAGGCAGGAGCGCATGAGACTCGCTGCTGAGGCTGTAGCGGCAGACGAGGCGGTTGTGGAGGTGAGAGTGAGAGGATCGTGGAGGTGAGATACTGTGCAGGTGAGATACTGTGCAGGTGAGATACTGTGCAGGTGAGATACTGTGCAGGTGAGATACTGTGCAGGTGAGATACTGTGCAGGTGAGATACTGTGCAGGTGAGATACTGTGCAGGTGAGATACTGTGCAGGTGAGATACTGTGCAGGTGAGATACTGTGCAGGTGAGATACTGTGCAGGTGAGATACTGTGCAGGTGAGATACTGTGCAGGTGAGATACTGTGCAGGTGAGATACTGTGCAGGTGAGATACTGTGCAGGTGAGATACTGTGCAGGTGAGATACTGTGCAGGTGAGATACTGTGCAGGTGAGATACTGTGCAGGTGAGATACTGTGCAGGTGAGAGGGATTTGTTGAGGGTGGAGGTGAGAGGGATTTGTGAAGGTGAGAGGGAATAGTGGAGGTGAGAGGGAATTGTGGAACAAGATCATAGTGTGGGCGTCTTGACATTCGCTCACCTGCCACTGTAGCTTGGTGTGGCTGCCTTGCCATCTCACTTGCCGGTTCTCCCCGTGGCGCTAATTTGATCCCTGGCACACTTAACCTTTCGTCTGCTGTCTGTTGCCCCCCTGCGTGCCATCAAGAGCAGGCTTACACTGCTCTGCTGGCGCGGGACCTACAGGCTCGCCTCTCCTCCGACCCGGATGCCCAGGGTCGGTTGAGCTTGCAGCAAGTCGTGACGCCGGACAAACAGTCAGGCGAGGTGGCGTCTGCTTCAAATCCCCCCAGCTGAAGCTGCCCAGCGGGAAATGCCCACAGTGTTGAAAATATACAGCTGCTGACTGATGCCTTGTACGGGTATTTCATGAAGAAATTGTTCATTTTTAGCACTTCAACTCACACATCGAAGGTTGTGAAAAACATGCGCCATGTTGTCCAGTGGATACGGTACCTCTCTCGCTTGCCATTGACAAAGAGTGTTACGGTATCAGTACATCATATCTTTCTCTGTATGGTGCCTTCACAAGAATACCACTCGCACTGCTTACACTGCTTTGCATACGATTATAACTAAAGAATTTGCTTTGCATGTTTCCAACACAAATTATACCCGTCATCTACCGGTTAGAAGACCCGGGGGTCTTATCCCAAATGTGCCAAAAATGGGTTGTGGGGTCTTCTGTGATGGCATATAGTACATAAGACCCTTGGACATCTACTAATTACCGTCATACCCCGGATAGAAGCGCAGGCCTATGATAAGCGCCGGCGCTTATAAAAGGCTTATGGCGCTTATATCCGGTCCTCGATTATAAGCCCACCCCTAACGGCTTACGGATTATAAGCGCCACCCTCTGTAATAAATTTTATATTTTTACTGGAAATGCTGTAACGAAACAAAATTTTGCATCCCTACATTCGGAATTTCGAATCCCTTCATCATCGTGCGACACAATGCCTTCGCGTCCAGTCAGAATGAGCTGTCATCGGGCCAATCTGACTCATTCTGACTGTGTGTGTTGGCAGGGAATCAGCCACTGCCGCTTTACGCGAAATTCACATTCATTGCCCTCTACAACATCGATTCGATTCAAATCGCAAGAACGAGATGAACACTTGGGTGTAAAAAAACTAGATTTCATATATGTCATTATATAAGCCCCGGCGCTTATAAAAATCCTCAATTATAAGCCCACCCCCTAAAAAACAATGTATTTTTATACCCCCAGGGGCGCTTCTATCCGGGGTATGATGGTACCAAAAAATGGATTGTGTAGAGTGTTGTGTTGAAGATTCGAAATTTTCTGTACTGAATTTTGAATTCCTTCACAGCGCGGAAATTTGTTCTCAGATTCTCGCACTCGAGTCTCGCTGATTCCTATCCGCACGTTGTGTAATGCCAAATAATGACATGCACGTCAACAATTCTTGCCTGAAGGGCGGCAAAAACGCGTGACTGATGCGGCATCTTGACTCCCTTGATCACAAATTCGTCTGACAAAGTGAATTTGGTGGTTTTTTGTGTGACTCACTAACCAGCTCATGAACTCAACACCACTCATTATAGCACGTTACAAAAGAGGGGGGGTCTTATAATTAATAGGGTCAAAAGACGAGTCCTCTACAGGAATGACATAATAAAAGGCCCCTGGTCCGGATAAAGGACCCAGGGGCTTGTACGCGGGGGGGGGTCTTCTTGCCGGGAGATTACGTACTCATTATACACATCATGAAGTGCACGCACATGCAAATGTGGTAATCATCGTGGATATTGCACCTTGGGTCTGGTGCTTCTGGCTTGTGTGTGGTCCTAGTTACAATGCAGACTGTCCCATACAAGACCTAGCACCTCACCCTTTTTAGCGTTCTCAAAAGCTAACAGCTCACCCCGCCACCACCTCTCTTCTCTTCTGCACCACACGGAAGAACAGAAATGCCCACAGCAATGACCAAGGAGGGTGAGAATCTGTGCAGAGATTTGTTTTTTACCATAAGGGCGTGTTCCAACGCTCTTATAAGGCAAACCTCTTATCAGGCAAACCTCTTATCAGGCTTGCCTGGTAAAATTCGCGAGAGATTTTGGGTTTAGGAAAATTTCAGTGTGACGCGAAGCGAATTTGATAAGGGGTTAGTCTGATAGGGGGCCGTAGGAACACGCCCTAACTACAAGTGAACCCATGGCAGAGCACTAGAGGTGCAGCATGGGGCTAGTAAGCGGGATGTACCGTGAATGTGGCAACACAACACAGTTGATATTGCTTCAAGCCCTTCGTGTAAAAAGGCATCATTTCTCAGAATGCCCCTTGCTGTGTTACCCCAACCATGGCATTGCGTGGACTGGGTAACCCACCTAGTACTGCTACAACGCACACCTGCCACCACCTGCTACCACCTGCTACCACCTGCTACCACATGGTGCCGCATGTTACCGAGAGGTACCGCATGGTACTGAATTTTACCTGTACTGCTGCGACACACCTGGCACCACAAGGTACTGCACTGCACCGCATGATACCACTGGCGCACCTGGTAGTGCTCGAGGCCCGTGCGGGAGAAGGCATCAATAACCCGGCATGCCAGCTCTGCTCTCTCCAACGCCTCCACGTACTTCAGGGCTGCTTGGATGCGGTGATGCGCGGTGGTGAGGGATGGTGAGCGGTGATATGGGTGGAATGAAGGAGACTGAAGTGGGGCAACCACACTCCCTCCGCTCTGCTCTCTCCCAGGCCTCCACGTACTTCAGGGCTGGTGGGGTGCTGTGATGTGCGGTGGTGATATTGAATGGTGAGCGGTGAAGAGCAGTGACATGCGGTGATCAGTAGTGATGTGGACTGAATGCAATAATGGTAAGTGATCTGCAGCTCATGTGGAGTGATGTGCGGCGATGTGGAGTGATGTGCGGCGATATGGAGTGATGTGCGGCGATGTGGAGTGATGTGCGGCGATGTGGAGTGATGTGCGGTGATGTGGAGTAATGTGCGGCGATGTGGAGTGATGTGCGGCGATGTGGAGTGATGTGCGGCGATGTGGAGTGATGTGCGGTGATGTGGAGTGATGTGCGGTGATGTGGAGTGATGTGCGGTGATGTGGAGTGATGTGCGGTGATGTGGAGTGATGTGCGGTGATGTGGAGTGATGTGCGGTGACGTGCTGTGATGTGGAGAGATGGAAGAATGGCATTCGCTGATGCACCATGTCTTCACACCACTCCTGCCTACTATCAGACATCAGTACCCATGCTCATGCCCCTCTCCTCTCTCACCTTTGATCAACCCTGTGCTGTCACATGCAACCATCCCATCAACTGCCTGCCTGTCCCCCATAACTAGCTACTCGCTCCACATCCCCTGCCCATCCCCGCCCACACACTGTTCCTACCACCTCTTAAGGCAACATCCATGTCCGTGCCCATACTCATACCCACACCACTCCTATCTCTGATGCGCCCTGTGGTTTCGCATCGCATGTAGTCACCCCACTGCCTTTCTCCCACAACCGTCTAGTCACTCCATCCCTTGCCCGTGCCCGAGCCCCTCCCGCACCTCTGATGCGCCCTGTGGCTTCACACGTGATCATCCCATCCCCTGCCTCTTGCCCCTTGCTGCTTGCTGCTGCCTCTGCCGCCCCACCCGGCCCGGAAGCGGGCACTGTAGCTAGCAAGCACTGCACCGTCCGGAGTTAGTGGGCGGTTGGCAAACACTGTGCAGAGGGTTGCAGATGCTGTCTGTAGTGATGGGGGGGAATCAGACGGAAGGTCAAGAAGAGTCAAGGAGAGTCAATGAAAGTCAACGTAAGTAAAGAGAAGTCAGTAGTCAAGAAGACAGTTCAGCAGTGGCACACATTGCTCAGTCAAGGGATATTGGCCAGCGATGCCGTGAGGTTGGCACGCATTCTCGGTTGTGGACAGTGGTGATATGAACCAATGAGAGCTGGATGAGCGATGGGAGAGAGGAGGGAGAGAATGGGAGCTAGAGAGGGGAAGGGAGGAAGGGAGGAAGGGAGGAAGGGAGGAAGGGAGGAAGGGAGGGAGGAAGGAAGGGAGGGAAGGAAAGAGGGAAGGAATACATGATAACACTCTGATCTGTACTCACTTGAATCAATGTAAGGACGATAGAGGGAAGGAGGGATGAAAGGCGGAAGGGAGGAAGAAGGGAGGGAGGAAGTGAGACGTCAAATGAGTGAAGCAAGGCAAGAGGGAGGGTGACCTGGGGGATGCGCACTGACCTGGGGGACACTCACTGACCTGGGGGACACTCACTGACCTGGGGGATGCGCACTGACCTGGGGGATGCGCACTGACCTGGGGGATGCGCACTGACCTGGGGGATGCGCACTGACAGGGGGATGCGCACTGACTGGGGGGACACTCACTGACCTGGGGGATGCGCACTGACCTGGGGGACACTCACTGACCTGGGGGACACTCACTGACCTGGGGGATGCGCACTGACCTGGGGGATGCGCACTGACCTGGGGGATGCGCACTGACCTGGGGGATGCGCACTGACTGGGGGATGCACACTGACTGGGGGGACACTCACTGACCTGGGGGATGCGCACTGACCTGGGGGACACTCACTGACCTGGGGGATACGCACTGACCTGGGGGACACTCACTGACCTGGGGGCTGCCCACTGACCTGGGGGATGCGCACTGACCTGGGGGACACTCACTGACCTGGGGGACACTCACTGACCTGGGGGATGCGCACTGACCTGGGGGACACTCACTGACCTGGGGGACACTCACTGACCTGGGGGATGCGCACTGACCTGGGGGATGCGCACTGAGCTGGGGGATGCGCACTGACCTGCTGCTCGTGCTTGGTTGGGTCGAGCAGCAAGCGACCTTGGGGGTCCAGAGCGACCTGCACTGCCGCTGTGAGAAGAGGGGCGCACGGGGAAGCAGGGCAGGAGCGTGTGCATGTGAACGAGCAGTTATGGGCGTGATTCCAGTGCCATGCCAGCTGCCCCTTCGATGGTGCCTCAGGGCAACAGACAAGACACACAGGGCGTTTGAGTTGCCTCAGGGCAACAGACAAGACACACAGGGCGTTTGAGTTGCCTCAGGGCAACAGACAAGACACACAGGGCGTTTGAGTTGCCTCAGGGCAACAGACAAGACACACAGGGCGTTTGAGTTGCCTCAGGGCAACAGACAAGACACACAGGGCGTTTGAGTTGCCTCAGGCCAACAGACAAGACACACAGGGCGTTTGAGTTGCCTCAGGGCAACAGACAAGACACACAGGGCGTTTGAGTTGCCTCAGGGCAACAGACAAGACACACAGGGCGTTTGAGTTGCCTCAGGGCAACAGACAAGACACACAGGGCGTTTGAGTTGCCTCAGGGCAACAGACAAGACACACAGGGCGTTTGAGTTGCCTCAGGGCAACAGACAAGACACACAGGGCGTTTGAGTTGCCTCAGGGCAACAGATAAGACACACAGGGCGTTTGAGTTGCCTCAGGGCAACAGACAAGACACACAGGGCGTTTGAGTTGCCTCAGGGCAACAGACAAGACACACAGGGCGTTTGAGTTGCCTCAGGGCAACAGACAAGACACACAGGGCGTTTGAGTTGCCTCAGGGCAACAGACAAGACACACAGGGCGTTTGAGTTGCCTCAGGGCAACAGACAAGACACACAGGGCGTTTGAGTTGCCTCAGGGCAACAGACAAGACACACAGGGCGTTTGAGTTGCCTCAGGGCAACAGACAAGACACACAGGGCGTTTGAGTTGCCTCAGGGCAACAGACAAGACACACAGGGCGTTTGAGTTGCCTCAGGGCAACAGACAAGACACACAGGGCGTTTGAGTTGCCTCAGGGCAACAGACAAGACACACAGGGCGTTTGAGTTGCCTCAGGGCAACAGACCCTTGATCAATACTCCTGAATACCTCAGCGTCTTTTAGAGGCGAAGCACAGATGCAGTGTGCAGAGAGCAAGGCGACGTGAATGAAGGCGAGGGGAGGGAGGTGCGAAGGAAAGAGGAGACGGGAGACAGGGGAGAGAATAAGGGAGATGAAAGAGAAGAGAGAGAAGAGGGGAGATGGGAGTGAAGAGCGAGGGGAGAGAGGAGAGGGGAGATGATAGAGGAGAGAGGAGAGAACAGAGAGGGGAGAGGAGAGGAGAGAGGAGACGGAAGCAAGGAGAGAGGGGAGACGGGAGAGAGGAGAGGAGAGGAGAGGAGAGGAGAGGAGAGGAGAGCGGAGGAGGGGAGAGGGGAGAGAGGCACCTGGAAGGCAAGCGAGAGGCAAACCGGCATCGAGGAGAGCAGCAAAGGCAGCGTTGAGCGTACACGCCAGCAGCTGGCGATGGGCGGGGTGTGGTGTGGTGTGGTGTGGTGCGGAGGGGTGTGAATAAGGGTGTTCCAAGGAGAAAGAATCGTTGGAAGCAGGAGCAGGCAGCTAGACAGGGGGTTGGTAGGAGGGGCGAGAAGGGGAGAAGGAAGGCTGCTAGCTAAGCAGCAGCTGCACTATGTAGGAGTGCTGTGTGTGACTCCAACCAACAAGGGGCATACGATGGAACATGTGAAGTCTTTGCACTTATACACCATGAATGATCAGCCGACATTGTAGTCCTTTGCACGTATATTTGGCCACAGCAGCACGGGAGCTGCGGAGAGCATCATCACACACCATGTGTTCTGAGGCGCCTCACAACACAGCAGCCGCAGCAGCAACGGCGGCGGGGCCGGCAGCGGCGGCGGCAGCGGTGGCGGCACGCATGCAGGCGAAAGTTGAGTAGAGTGAAAAGGCAGCAAGCAGCAAGGCGGCAGAACATTGAGGTGCGAGCGGGGAACTCACCGAGCCATGGTCGTGCACCACCTGCATGCAGCGTGCGAGGGAGGAGGGAGTGCGGAGGGCACGAGAGCGACAAGAGGGAGTGAAGCGCAAGTGGGGAGTAAAGGAAAATGGGAGGAGCAAAGGAAGCAGTCAACGAAGGTATACAGCTTAGAGTACAGTCACAGCGGAAGGGGACACTAAAAGTAGGAATGCCAAGCAAGTTGAGAAGCGATTGGAATGACACCTCCTGCATGCTCGTTGTGCACTCTGCAGCACTGCCTCCTCTCACCCAACCTACCTACAGTTGCAATACCTGTTCTCTCCGCTGCAGCACCGTGCATCACCGCACTTCACCTTGCTCACCCCACCTGCAGCTGCAGCTGAATTCTGGTGCGCGGCAGCAGCGAGGAGAGCAGCACGGCATCCACGGTGTGCCTCACCACGGCCTCGCTGTACTTCTCCGCCGCGCCTGCCCACCACGGGGGGAAGGGGGGGTAGTGGTTGGACAGCCGTCACAGCGGCCACGGTATGGTGCACAGCAACTCTGAATGTACCCTTAGCTACTCACTGCTGGAGCCACAGTTGCTATAATCACACCACGACAGGAACACCACCATGCCATCAGTACAGTCACGTCACACCACAACTACAGTCACCATTAGTCACACACCATTACAGTCACAGGCACGGATCTGAGATGCCATTCCTGGGCGCCCATATGACCTGCAGCGAGGCTCTCAGAGGGTCCTCCTTCCCCCCTGCCCACCTGCCGCCCCTCCCCCCGCCAGCCCCCCTCCCGCCACGCCCATCCCCCGCGGCCCATACACCCCCGCCACCACACACGTGTCGCCTGCACAGGGGAACGGTGGGGGCAGGGGAAGGAGGGGTTGCAGAGCGGTTAGCAGGGAGTGAGAGGAAGACGCGGAATGGCCTGAGTGACCCACAACCAGCCATCCCCCGCGCCCCATACACCCCCGCCACCACACACGTGTCGCCTGCACGGGGTTTTTGGGTAAGGCCGGGGGGGAGAGGTCAAGTTGCAGGGGAAGAGGGGGGTGGGGTTGGGAGGTTGGGCAGGAGGGGAGGAAGAAATAGGGAAAGGGGGTTGGAGCGGGGGGAGTAGGAGGGAGGAAGGGGAGTAAGAAAGGGGGAGATTTTACCGCCCCCCGCCCATCCCCCCCGCCCATACATCCCCACACGCCACCACACACGTGTCGCCTGCAGGGCTTAGAAGGGCGAAAAAGAGAGAGCTGTTGGGTCTGGCGGAAGGAGGGAAGGGAGGGTGGGGCGGCCGGTAGGGGTGGCCCGGGGGAGTGGGGGGAAAGAACGAGGGGGGTCGGTGGGAGAGGGCGAGGGGGGTCGGGGGAGGAAGGAGGGCGGAGATGCGAGGAAAGAAGGAAGAGTCGCGCATTCAGTTCGTGCAGGGGAACACCGTACCGTTTTCGCAGCTCGGGAACGTCTCGCTCGTTATAGTCACGCACCTAGCGACCACCTCGCGGGGCCAATTTTTGAGATGTCCCAAAACCCGCTCATTATTATCACGCACCCACCTAGCGACCACCTCGCGGAGCCATCGGCGCGGCACAGCGGACCCCGGCTGGCGAGCATTGGTCGCAGCTGCGACGCCGTGCGACCGTCTGGTCGCGCTGGGTCAGAGGGCAATGCGTCTGTCATGATAACAAGTTACGAACCCCGAAAGGCGAAGACACCAGAAAATATTTTTTGGTACCCCAACAGGAGAAACTAAGGAGAACGGCCGGAAGATCAATCTCACAAATCGGTCAGGAAAATCGTGGTCCGTCAGACCTGGTCCGCAACGAGAAATTACATTGCCTGGTCCGGAATTCTGGTTCGACGGACCCAATTGGCGGACAAGTACAGTAGTGGATCTGACACAGACTGGTCTGGCTGATGCGTCGCGCCTCGGGGGTGTACAGTGTTTGCCGGTGCAACAGTTGCGACGAGAAGCAGACATTCTGAAATCAAGTTACCCTTTTGTTTAGCCTGGCAAAATTGCGCAATCAGCATGTGCGAAGATCACGAGGGAGGGAGAAAATTCGCAAAAATGTACAAGCTACCACTGTTTACGGACCAGGCGTGGACTGGTCTGACGACGAAATCAAAGTGATTTTTTAACAGCATAGCGGGTTACAGGTCCGCACCTTGTTCCAGTCCGTCCCTGGTTCACGCGCTTGTCCGAGCCGGACCAGTGTGGGCTGGCGCATTTGAGACACCTTCTAATGGGAGATCACAAGTTACCGCGGGGTTGGGAATCGACACCACATCCATTCCCAAGGAAAGAGGCGTTCGATCTAGCTAAGGGCGCGTCACCTCTAAATTCGAACAAAGCCCTTTGTCGAACATGCGATTTATTACACGATTCGCCACATTTCGCAATAATGTCGTTGAGTCCTCGTTAGTTCGCAAATAGAAACGTCGCTAAATCGAACAGAGCTGTCACATCCAGCATGAAGGATTTCGCGCTTGCTGTTCGAATGAGTCCGTTCGAGTGTAATTTGGGATGAGCACATACGACGCCCACGAACAGCACAAAGAAGTTTCCAGGTATCTTTCGACTGCCTTTTGATATTCGTTATGCAGTCAAAACCTTCTGACGACGGTTGTGCGACGTTTCACGGTAGGCGACGTCGCATTTTCGAACACGCCTGTCAGTTCATGTGATACACCGTCACCTTTCACCAAATTCTCAAATCTTGTTCGAACATCGGAATTATGCTGTTCGGGCACTGGAAAACAATAACAGTGTTCGAATTTTGGCCGACTGCTTGAGAGGTGACGCGCCCTAAGGGTTTTATTAGTGATTCTCTCTTTCCAAGACTAGAACCATTTCTCTCAGTTCCATTGCAACTAGTCAGAATGGCTGCTGCGTCGCCGATCGGACGGCTGTCAGACGATCTTCTCTCCGTTATCCTCCGTCTCGCCGGTCGATTCAACGGTCAGTTCCAGCACGCGATTGTGTGCAAGAAATGGCATCGCATCGCCCGTAGCGTGCACGACCACATCCACATTCGCGGAAGCCGTCGCATGCGTCCTCGCGAGCTGCTCGCGCACCTCTCGTCATTCCCAAGGCTCCGAAAGCTCGTCCTCGCCGTCTGCAGCATCACGTCCGTCCCCGACTCTCTCCTCTCGGGGATTGCCGACACGTGTCCAGATCTGACGGACCTCCACGTCGATACGATGCAACGAGAGTACAGACAGGGGGGTTTCACAGAGAACGGGCTTTCGTATCTCTTTGAGAAGTGCATACGGCTGGAGGGACTTCGTCTTGATTGTCAGTGGAATCTGGCCGCCATTCCCTCTTCCATCGGCGGCCTTGCGTCACTCAAGAGCCTGCACATCACCGACAGGGGGACAATCGCCCTCCTTCCATACGCGTTCACCTCGTTACAGGCACTCGTGCATCTCGTGATCAAAATGCCCGGACTGGATGAACTGCCGCAGGACTTCGGCAATCTGAGGCTGCTCAAATCGCTCCATCTGATCGGCTGCCTGTGTCTCGTTTCCATTCCCGATTCTTTCGGGCAGCTTACCAACTTGACGCAACTTTCCATCAGTGGCTCCACAAGGCTTCGGCTGCCCGAGTCCATCTCCAACCTTACATCGCTGCTGACCCTCGAAATTTCCAACTGCCGAGACCTTTCACCGCTGCCCGAGAGTTTCGGGAACCTGCCAGCCCTTGAAACCCTACGCCTGGAGGATGTGGGGGGGATCAGAATTCTGCCCGCGAGTCTCGGGCAGCTGTCTTCTCTGGCGAATCTTATCCTCGCCGGCATGACACTCCACCATCTGCCTGACGGCGTCGCTCTCCTCCTACGCCTACGCACGCTCAAGCTAGACGTTGGCATTGCCGTGCAGCGGCATCCCTCTGTATACCTCGCCACCACACTCAAAGAGCTCACGATTGAAAAGACTAGAACTTTACGTTCTCTGCCAGAGGAGTTCGGGCAGCTTACTGCCCTCGAGGCCCTGCGCCTGGTTGAGCTTCCGGGGCTCAGCAGCCTGCCCGCGTCGCTTGGCGACCTGACGAGCCTCAAGGAGCTGAAAATAGCCACATGCAGCCTGCTGACGCAGCTTCCAGACTCCCTTACTCTGCTTTCTTCCCTTGAGCTGCTGGACATCAAGGATTGCTGCAAGCTGACAGAGCTACCGCAGGGAATGGGGGATGGTCTGCATAGCCTGCGCGGACTGACTCTGCTCGAATGCACGGCTCTCACCCATCTCCCTCCCACCTTCTCCAGCCTCTCCTCCCTCGATACCCTAGAAATCCATCGAACAACCAGCTTAGGCGCGCTACCAGACGGGTTCTCCCACTTGACAAGCCTTAAGAAGCTCTCTCTCTGTGACTTGCCGCACCTGCCCGCCCTGCCTGCCTCCCTCCCTGCCATCGGCTCTTCTCTCAAATCACGGCGCTGCCAGAGGAGATCGGACGGCTGGGAGGGCTTGAAGCTCTCACGCTCTACAATATGCTTGACCTGAAGTCGCTCCCTCGCTCGCTGTGTCAGCTGCAGCGGTTGAAAAGACTGCAAGTGAGTTGCAGCGCGCTGCAGTCGCTGTTTGTGGATGAGGATTGGGTAGTTGTTTTGAATGGTTGTGGGGTGGGAAGTACCTGCCTCCAGTTACCCAGCCACACGGGTAGCAGCAGAGGCGCTGGCAGCTGTGGGGGGTGCGAGGAGAGTGACATGGGTGTGCTGCTGCCATCCCTGGAGGATCTTCAACTGGCGGCCCTTCCATTGCAGCAGCTCGGTGCATGGCTGGGCTCCTTCTCCTCGCTAACCCACCTGGAGATCTCGCACATGAATCGCCTCCGCTCGCTCCCACACTCCATCTCTCGCCTCTCTCGCTTGCAGTCACTCACGATCACTTATGCCAAAAGCATGCTTGTGCTGCCAGAGTCAATAGGGAAGCTCTCAGCACTCACATCCCTCCATCTTGACGGTCTCATGCGCTTGACTGCTCTGCCTGAGTCGCTTGGGCAGCTGAAGAAGCTTCAGGTTCTTCATATTGACCAATGCCCGGGCTTAACCCGGCTTCTCCCTGATCTCTGCCGACTGCAGCGGTGCCATTTCTGCCGTGTCGGCATTTCGTGCCTTCCGGATGACTTCTGGAAGATCTCTGCTTTAAAATACCTCTTGCTCACGTCACTGCCCAAACTCTGCAGCCTGCCCAAATCTTTTTCGCAGCTGCTCGCACTGGAGGAGTTGAACCTGACCCAATGCGAGGGGCTGGCTCAGTTACCCTCGGGCGTGCAGCAGATGGGGAAGCTGCAGACATGCATTATCAGTGGGTGCCCGCTACTGCCGACAAGAACAATTGCATCGATTCACAAAGCGAACTTGGACGAAGGAGAGCGCTTGGTTGTGGAGGAGGAGGAGGAGGGGGAGGGGGAGGGGGAGTTGGAGGAGGAGGAGGAGGAGGAGGAGGAGGAGGAGGAGGAGGAGGAGGAGGAGGAGGAGGAGGAGGAGGAGGAAGAGGAGGAGGAGGAGGAGGAGGAGGAGGAGGAGGAGGAGGAGGAGGAGGAGGAGGAGGAGGAGGAGGAGGAGGAGGAGGAGGGGGAGTAAGAGGAGTATGAGGAAGAGTAGGAGGAGGGAAAATTGACAGCGTAGGTGGATGAGGGGAGTGAAGGCAAAGCGAGTGAAAGGGAGGGAGGAGAGATGAACGATGGGGAGGGGATCGAGGAGGAGGTGAACGCAGCGGAGGGAGCGAAAGGGAAAAGAGTGAGGGCGGGGGGGGGGGGGGGGGGCGAGAACGAAGGGGAAGGGAGGGAAGGTGGTGAGGGGAACGAAGGGGAGGGCGTCGAAGGAGAGAAGAGTGAAGTTTCGTGAAGAGTAGAGGAGTGTGGAACGGAGGAGGTGGTGGAGTGAGATGGAGATGAGGAGGACGAGCAAGGGAAGGATGACGAGGTGAGAGAGGAATTGCAAGTTGATGGAAGAGCAGGATTCAGAGGAGGCAATAGGTGATGTCGTGTGGGGTGGGGGGTTGATTAGAGAGAGATTCGTATGATGTATGCACTCCTTGGTGCCACAGTGTTTCATGTCAACTCAACTGTATTTATTGGCAGAACGTCTTGTGAGCTGCAGAAAAAGCATGTCATGTCAACCTGTGTGATACTTGTTGGTATTTTGTTGCTGGAATGCGTGTTGTTGGTGGTAAGGTTCTGTTTTCGGTCGTACGGTAGGTCTCTCTTCTTCACTCTCCCTCCCCCCAATCTCCCCCTCCTCGCTGTCTTTCACTTATCCCTCGAATGGCCCTTGTGATGTCAAGCAAGGTTGTACAGAACTATATCATGCCACCGATAAACAAGTAATGGAAGGTCCCTATGGGAGCAATTTCTTCCCAATATCAGTATATTGACTGCCAATGCTGGTATGTCTCTGTGTGTGTGCGCGTGCCGGTGCTGGTATGTCTGTGCGTGTGCGTAAGGTTCTGTTTCTGTTTCTGATCGTGCTAAGGTTGCACTGCCGAACCCTGCCTATGTACCTCCATCGCTTCTTTCCTCCCTTCCCCCCGCCCCCCTTCTCTGCCCTATCTCCTCCTCCTCACTCTCTTCCACTCTGCCCTCTCCCGTGCCCATGTCAGCTCAGCAGCCAACTTCACCTCCTTCACTGCAATGCGGCAGGCGGTGTTGAGCTGGCGTCTCTCGACACCGCGTCCGCGATGAGTAGGTTTCAGAGCAATACACGGCCGGGCAGGTTTTGCAAGTTCAATGCGTACACGGGCAGCTTTTCAAAAAAAAAAAAAGGCAAGGCGGAGGGTGGCGATCCATGGTACAGCAAACCTGGACGAGGGGGAGCGTGCAGTAGGTGGCTCAGAGGAAGAAGATGAAGGGGAAGTGCGGAAGGGGGGAGCAGGAAGATGGGAGCGAAGGGAGGGAGTGATGGTGAGGGTCTTGACAGGGAGGAGGGTGAGGAGCAACAGCAAGGGGAGTGAAGAGTAGGTAGGGAAGGTAGTGGGAAAATAGGGGAAGATTGGAGAGAGATGGAGATGGGGAGGACGAGGAAGGCAAGGTTGAAGAAGTGAAAAGAGGGGGATGGGGCGATGGAATCGGAGGATTTGGAGGATGAATAGGGAGTGGAGATGGCTAGGATTTCAACGATGCGAATGCATCTAAGTTGTGCTCCTGCTGTGCTGGCAGGCAGAACACGCACTGCTTATAGGCTTTAAAACGTGGTTAGGTTAGGTTAGGTGGCAAATACCAATAACACACATGGGTTCATGACGCAGGACTTGAGAAAGGCTACGGTATTGTTTCTGTCCATTGACACCATGTTGAGCAGAGAAAGGGCCCATAGTGCAGCTAACAGTGGCTACTCACGGTAGTGGATGTGACACGGAAGTTGCAGAGCACAGAGTATATTTATTTTTAAAAAAAAAAAAGACTAGGGAGAAACTTACTGTAACGTAAACCCCCGGATAGTAGACCCCAGGTGCTGTCCTTAATTCGCCCAAAATTTAGGGGTGTGGGTCAGGCCCTATTTTATCAGTGTAAATCACCCTGATACCCTGATTATCAGGGTGGTTTTTGGTAGTCACAGTGATGCCTTGGGGTATTTTTTTTGGGAGCTTGATTTTCCCTGATGTGCCAGGGTTTATGAGTAAGGCACACTGTCGCCTTGAGGTTGACGTTTCTCTTAGCAAGTTTTACCCTGAAGCGAGTACCAGCCTACCCCCGCGCCCCCCCTCACTGTCAGAATGCTATAATTGTCTAGTCTGCAGTGGGGTACTCTATAGTGAGTACAGCCCAAATTAGGGTTTGCTATATGTATCCTATCTACTACTAGTCCAACCCCCTTTTCTGCTGTTATCTTCTTGCTTTCCTCTTGACAAGAACCTAGGCTAGGGTTTCTCCTAAGCCTAGGTATGTCTTCCATTCCTGACATGGTATCAGAGCGAGAACGCTCCTGGCCTGTGGGCCCACCTGCTTCCGCGACGTTTTCTGCCTGCCACGCGCTCGGGGCGCGCGACGTTTTTTTCTTCCCGCCGCGCGCTCGGGGCACGCGGCGGTTTTCAGCTCGGTGCGTCGCCCCACCTAACCTGCGCCCCGCCCCGTGGGACCCAAGCGCTGCCCCGCTGGACCCGCGCGACGCCCTGCGGGACCCGCACGTCGCCCCCGCTGGACCCGCGCGACGTCCTGCGGGGCTCGCCCGCTGCCCCGCTGGACCCGCGCGACGCCCTGCGGGACCCGCGCGTCGCCCCCGCTGGACCCGCGCGACGTCCTGCGGGGCTGGCGCGCTGCCCCGCTGGACCCGCTCGACGCCCTGCAGGACCTACGCGCCGCCCCTGCTGGACACGCGCACCGCCCCTGGGGACCCGCGCGCCGCCCCTGGGGATCCGCGCGCCGCCCCTGGGGACCCGTGCGCCGCCACTCCTGGACCCGCGCGCCGCCCCTTGACCCTCTGCGCCGCGGGGCTGCTTCCCCTGCCCCTCCCCTTTCTCCTTTCTCTCCCTCCTACGTGTGCAGAAATGGGGGTGGCGGGTATGGGGGTGGCGGGTGTGTGAGCCGTCCCCTACTCCTCCTCCTCCTCCGTCTCCCACTGCTACAGCTGCCGCTGAGGGGGGTGGATGTGTGGGAGCCGAGGGAGTGGCGCTAGGGGGGTGCCGTGGGAGTGGAGCTAGGGGTGCATAGGGGGGTGTGTGAAAGGGGTGTGGGACAGTTGGGGGAGGTTGAGCGGAGGTAGCCGTCGTGACGTCAGCAGCGCCAGTAGTCCGGGGCCCTTGCTCCGGTAGCCCAGCGAGCCTGCTGCACCAGTCGCCCGTGGGTCCGTTGCTCCTGCCGCTCGTCTTAGCCGCGGAGCCAGTTACTCCTGTAGTCCGGGGCCCTTGCTCCGGTAGCCACCGTGCGCATCGCTCCTGTTGCCCGTGTGTCTGCGGCTTCACCCGTCGCCTCCTATCTCCACTCCTCTCACAGTCCCTCCTCCTCCTCACTTGCCCTCTGTGACTGCCTCTAGCTTTGCTTGTGCTTGTGAACTTCTTATGCGACTGCTTGCTGTGCTGATCATACCCCACTTTGCCTATGGGGGTGTGTCAGAATGCTATAATTGTCTAGTCTGTAGTGGGGTACTCTATAGTGAGTACAGCCCAAATTAGGGTTTGCTTTATGTATCCTATCTGCTACTAGTCCAACCCCCTCTTCTGCTGTTATCTTCTTGCTTTCCTCTAGACAAGAACCTTGGCTAGGGTTTCTCCTAAGCCTAGGTATGTCTTCCATTCCTGACAACCACCCCCTTCCGCTAACCCCCCTTCCAGTGTACCGGGATTTCCCGATTGCCAAGGGCGTGCTGGGCGCGACGCGGAGATCAAGGGCGACCAGCTCGATATCTCCGACCAACACGCGCCCAGCACGCCCTTGATCTCCAGGAGAGAAGAAGAAAGTGACCACGATCAACACCCGTGTGGCATGTCTAATGATGATGACTAAGATTGTTATTGTGTGCTCTGTTAATAACAATTTCAGCAAGGTTGGAAAAAAATGTACACTGATGCCCCATGCTAGAACTTTCTAAACAAGCAGAAACCCTGATGGAACAGTTTTTTCACAAGGGGTCACACTGATAATCAGGGTTTTGAACATGTTCAAGGGTTGCTGAAAACCAAAACATGTTGCTCTACGACGCATCACCCGCGAGCGAGCTGGTCGCCTTTGATCTCCGCGTCGTGCCCAGCACGCCCTTGGCAATCGGGAAATCCCGGGTTACGGTGAAGGGGGGTTAGCGGAAGGGGGGGGGGGGGGGGGGGGACTAGGCTGGTACTCCTTTAGGGTAAAACTCGCTAAGAGAAACGCCAACCCTGAGGTGACAGTGTGCCTTAATCGTAAACCCTGGCACATAATGGAAAATCAAGCTCCCAAAAATATTACCCTAAGGCATCAGTGTGACTACCAAAAACCACCCTGATTATCAGGGTATCAGGGTGATTTACACAGATAAATTAGGGCCTGGTCCCGGGTGTCATATTGTTATATTTCTCTAGTCTGCAGTGGGGTACTCTATAGTGAGTACAGCCCTGTTAGGGTTTGCTATATGTATCCCATTGTTTGCTAGTGAAAGCCCTCTTCTGCTGTGCTTCATTCTTGCTTTCCTCTAGACAAGAACCCAGGCTAGGGTTTCTCGTAAGCCTAGGTATGTCTACTATTTTTGACATGGTATCAGAGCGAGTACGCTCCTGGCCTGTGGGCCCACCTGCTTCCGCTGCTGTTCTGTCTGTCGCTCGCCCCGTGGCGCGCGACGTCGCGCTCGGGGCGCATGGCGGTTTTCTGCGCGCCGCGCGCCCCGAGGCGCACGACGATTTTCCTGCCCGCCGCGCGCTTCGAGCGTGCGGCGGTTTACTGCTCCCATCGCGCCGCCTCGGGCTCCCATCGCGTCGCCCCCCGTGCACCCGTCGCGTCGCCCCCGTGCAGCCCGCGAGCTGCCCCGTGCGCCCCGCGCGACGCCCCGCTGGACCCGCGCGCTGCCCCGTGGAGCCGCGCGCGGGCCCTGTGCACCCGTCGCGCTGCCGCGTGGAGCAGCGCGCGGGCCCAGCGGACCTGCGCGCGGCCCCCGTGCGCCCGTCGCGCCGCCCCGTC